GAAGGATGAGGAACTCTCTGCCTATAGAGGTTGTTTTATCAGATTCTACAGATAAATTAAAAAAAAAAAAAAGGCTTGGATGCTTTTTCCCCCCCTTTCATAAACCGAATATTCAAGAACATTATTGATATGCATGTAAACAGGTTGCTGATCCAAGGAGAAATCGCATTGCCCATATGGAGTCAGGAAGGAACTTTTCCCTTTTATGGCATAATTGGAAATGGCTACAAAAGGGTTTGTATGCCTTCTTTTGGATCAACCGCATAAAAGAATGGACTTCAGTTTTTTTTTTTCTCTTTAGACAACTATGTAACCCCTTAAGGACCGATATAACACGCCGGCCTTTAAAGATCCTAAACTAAAATGTAATGTCCCATTCATTAAATGCATGCAGGCTTAGGTAAAGCTACATATGTGAAATAAGCAGGGCATACCATACTAGGACAGGGTCTTAACCATTAATAAATCAGTGCCTATTAGCTAGCAATTGAGCAACACAGCTCTGATCTGCACTCAGTCATTGAAAGGTTTATCAGCAAATTGGGATCACATGGTCTATGCCCAAATATGCAATTATTTGGGTTATAAACTAGTGAGTGAGCATCAATGTGCCACAATATGTATGTACATGATCGCCAATTAATTTCTAGAAAGTTGTGGGAAGCCAGGGATTGGTTTAGATTAGGGATGTGCACTGGCAAAAAATCTGGTTTGGAAATTCGGGTAAGTAAAACATTTTGTATGCTTTGGCAATTTGGACAAATGGCGTTCGGTTCGGCACTTCAGCAGTTCGGAACTTCGTCAATCCGGACCCTAACCCTAACCACTTGTTTTGCCACTTTTTTTTTAAATCCTAAACACTTTAGAACTTCGGCAATCCGTAACTTTCGCAATTCAAACTTCGGACACTCATAAGCATCCGAATTTCACGAAACTTGTCCGAATGTACATTTGGAACTAAATAATTTGCACATGTCTGGTTTAGACATCAGTAAGCTTAGTGACTACACAATTAGTGTATATCCTGGATAAACTTGAAAGAGTGACATTCACAGCCACATAACACACATGTTCATTTTATTTTATATTTTCTAATATTCTATTATTAATGCATTATCTCCATGAGAAAGAAAAAGTACAGTAAAATGTACCCTGTATTACCTCTTGCTATGTTGCATGAAAATCTAAATCTTCAAGCAATTTGTGCATTGCAAGGAATTAACTAAGTTAAGCTTGTTTTTCTTCATTTGTTTCTGTAAGATTTATTTTTGTTTGTAAATACTGAACATTACTGCACAAGGTTCTCTGCATTAGCCGGACTGAATCTTAAGATAGACTGGGTGATTAGTAAGCAGTGATCCACATTCTTTGTGTTTTAAGTTAAATTCCAAATACCATCTGCATGATGTATAAAAATTGTGTATTTTGTAGGCACATTTTTTTTTCTTAGCAAAACAAATATTTGGTGTCCATTTAGCTGCTTGCTGCAGTACTTTATGTGTCTGAAGTTTTATCATATTTGTGACAGTTTATAAAAGTTTTATAATTAGAGGCAGAAACCCCTCCCTGTCTCTCAGATAAAAAAAAAAAGGTTTTCTTCCGCTTCTGATAACGCCACAAAGTAGCTAGCTCGCACCTGTCTTCCCATGTACTACAGCTCACTGGGACACATAGGAAAGCTCCAATCTCGCACACTTGCGGCTATAGCACAGAAGTTTAGCAACAAGAAACCTCTGGCAGGTTTATTTCACAGCTCAGACTGAAAGTCTGTTGGGGAGAGAGGGGAGGGCTTACAAAGGCTTCTGCAAGCTGTTTTTCAGGCAAAGAAACATGCGCGTTATCTTTGGGGGTATGTCAACTTGTTTTACAACAGTCCGGCACTAAATAATTTAAACAATGCTGTTCCTATTTCAGCAATTTATTTAACCTCTGGTTTTGTTTTTGTTTAAATTTGTAATTTTTTGTGCCCTGTTTACTTTGCAGGTTGCAACACACCTCTAGTGGCTATCTAAATATTGACAAGTAAAACTCTTGTCACGTGTCAGCTGATAGCAAAGCCCTGAATTCAATGCTTTCCTGGGAGAAGCACTGGATACAAATGAGGGCCCTGATGCTTCTCTGTTAGGAGAATTAAATCTTCACTGGAGGAAGCCATGCTTTTCGATGACAAGTAGAGAGAAGAGCAGCACTGAGGGAGTCTCGGCACTGTTAAAAATGGGATTAACAAGTCACTCTGCCATTGCATCAAGCATTTTTGGAATCTCCGGCTTTTATTAATGACGAGTACAATATCAGGGCTTGAAATTTTAAGTCCTTCACTACTAGCCAGGCAGCAAAAGTTATTTGCAACTGACAAGTCCATGGCATAGTCACCAGGGTGATTTTCTAGCCACCAAAGGTTAGAGGTGAGAGGAATTTTCAGGCCTGATATGAATACTGCTGTATCTCAGATCACAGCTGTAACAGTGATACACCAGTGTGTGTATTTTAATGTGAATCAACAGAAGTGTGACAGTGTTGATATCACTGTATACAATGAATCATTCATTTCCATTCAGTATGACCTGAAGTGCAATTATAGTCTGCAAACACTGACTGAATGGGACTTGCAGGAAGCAGAGAGGCAAGCCAATAATGCAAACGTCCATTATATCAGTTTACTGTACATTAAACCTCCACCCAATTAAACCTCCGGAGTATTTAAACACCAATAACGTGTGATGACGGTGTGAAAACAAAAATGTTCTCAAGGGAAATTCTACTAATAAAACTCCCATACAGTCATTTTGTCAACAAGCCATTGGGGTTATTTACTAAACGACAGTTCAAATTGCAGAATTGGTGCTAAAATAACCAAGCTGTTACTATACCAAATTTGTAGATTTTAACCAGGCAGCATGCTTTAGTGGTTATGATGCCAGAGTACTCTGGCCCGGTTTCCTGGTTGATAAATGGTTTGCGTCCTTGCCTGGGTCCCCATCAGTTGCAGATGCCAGCGTTGTGCTTCGAGCTTCTGGATAGCGTCAGAAGTCACCATTCATTGGCTGAGAGTGCCAGCTGACCACTCTCCGCCAATGACTGACATTCTGTACATCGAAACTGGCACAGAATTGATGTTAACCAGTCCAGAACTCTAGTTCTGAGCTGGCCGATAACGCCTCAATGACGCTGCTGTAAGTGCAGAGTTTCGAAGCGAGAAGCTGCACATATAAGACTTCAGGCACCAATACCACTTTAAATCACTGAAGTGGTCATGGTACTTCGATTAACCCTTTAAGTTTACAATTTGGTTTATAGTGAATAACCCGGTTACTCCTGTGGATTGACACAGACACTCTCACAATGACTCTTGCCCTTGCGGATTTAATGTGTTTTTTTTTTGTTTTTAATGAATTATCTACAAGTTGCACACAAAAAAAATCATATTCTAGAAATGTGGCTTACCTACAGACTGGAATGTCCTTTTAACACCTAGTTGATCAACTGGTGGCACTCTTGCATTTGATCGACTGTCAGCCTCCAACAAAACAGAACATTTTAACCCATTTAAACATTAAGATTTGACATATCGGAGAAGCACCCAAGAAAAAAAATCAGAATACTCTAGGTAGGACAATCAGCAGGTATGTAAACATGAATGGAGAGAATCGATCTGGCCAGGGAAGATCAACCCCTCTTTAAATACCTGTATACTTTAAACCACAGTGATTTAGTTGGCTCCCTCTACGCAAGAACATGAATATAGTGGAATTTACTTATAGGGCCTCCGCAGAGGAGCAGTCCGTCTTACCATATGTTTAACCCACCTATATGGGTTTTATACCTTAAATCTCAGCTTTCTGGATTGCGGACCCAGGGCAGCCTGTTGCTCATTGTATAAAGTAGATGTTACTGGTGGGTGCTAGGGCAACACAAAGCCTGAAGTGCCACTGCCCCCTAGTGTTTATTTACTGCATGACACTTAAATAACCAACAGGAGATAAATGTGAGGTTTTTTTTTTATTAAAGGACCACTATAGTGCCAGGAAAACATACTCGTTTTCCTGGCACTATAGTGCCCTGAGGGTGCCCCCACCCTCAGGGACCCCCTCCCGCCCGGCTCTGGAAGGGGAAAAGGGGTTTAAACTTACCTTTTTCCAGCGCTGGGCGGAGAGCTCTCCTCCTCCTCTCCGCCTCCGTTCCGCCCCGCCGGCTGAATGCGCACGCGCGGCAAGAGCTGCGCGCGCATTCAGCCCGTCGCATAGGAAAGCATTTACAATGCTTTCCTATGGACGCTTGCGTGCTCTCACTGTGAAAATCACAGTGAGAAGCACGCAAGCGCTTCTAGTGGCTGTCAATGAGACAGCCACTAGAGGATTAGGGGGAAGGCTTAACCCATTCATAATTATAGCAGTTTCTCTGAAACTGCTATAATTATGAAAAAATGGGTTAACCCTAGAAGGACCTGGCACCCAGACCACTTCATTAAGCTGAAGTGGTCTGGGTGCCTAGAGTGGTCCTTTAAGAGATCTGTGCCCTTTCCCAAGTCACTTACAGAATACATATGTTTGTATAGGAAATCTGTATGACAATGTGAGCAGCCACTACTGGACATAATGTTTTCGTGACATGTCCTTTTTTAACACTTTGCTCTCCAGGAGCAAACTTAGAGTAAAATGAAAATGTTGTCCGTTTAATATCTAGGTATAGAACAGCTGCACTTGGGAAAACAGAAAACAAGCACCAAAAAAAAGTTTGGAGAGTTTAAATAAACAATTGACAAATAGCAGAGATGATTTATCAAAACCTTATGATGAAGGTTCAAAATCTATTTAATTTAAAGTTAACCGTTCTTCTCTGTGTATTCTAAAAGTTTTCTTTGTGTGCATATTCTGTTAATTGCCTGCATTTCTCCCTATGATAGATTAAAAAAAAAAAAAGCGGTATAATAAAATTCTATACTGTTGTAAGCTATTCTAAGATGCTTATAAAGATTTACATATTAAAAAGAATTTGCCAGACAAAAAGCAGCACAAAGGAGGGGGGAAAAAAAAATAAACAGAAAAGTAGCAAAAGTAATAAGTCATAAAAAACTAAACTGTTGAAATGCATAATTCATGCCAGAAAAAAAAATGGCGCTAACTGGTAAAACTTGTCACTACCTCAGTCTATACATAAAAGTTAAAATAAAACCGTGGTTATGACATATTGACAATAAATCACATGTTTGGTATAGATATCACATAAGCACTGCTTTATTGCATGTCTGTTGTATACGAGCACATAGAATTCTAAAAATCTAAATATTTTTCATATTTACACCTATGATTGCATACAATGTGTAACCGCATGTTTGAGTAGCTATTACTTGCAACTGACCTACAGCAGCTCTGTACGTAAAGCACTGAAAGTTATAAACCGTCAAGTATGGATCGTGAAAAATGCTTACTCCTAGAATTCGGATCAAGAAATGGGTCATGAAAATTGTAATTATACACATTCGATCATGATGTAATCATAAACCAAACAATCGCAATCAATTTATATTTTATTATGTACTTACATTTTATTTTAATAATTACAATGTCTAAATGCAAAGAAACATTAAAAAACAAAACCGAAATAAGGCAACGTTAAATAAAACCTACACTAAACCTCACAGTTCTATTGAATTTGGCACCACACAACCAGGGGCGTGTGATTACTGCAATAAACAGGACCGAGGGAAAAAAACAAAACAAAGTGTCTGTTTTAGTGGTTATGGGTAAAATGTCAGCACACAATCGCTGTACGTCAGTAGAACATATGATAAAAGGCCATTAAATTCCTGTATAGGGATATATATATATATTTATACATATTTAATAATATTGGTCCACAGATTATTTATAATAATGAAGAAAAAAAATCTATATCTGGCAAAATATTAGTATACATTTAAATAGCATTTATTGTTGGGATTGGGGGTGAGCGGGATAAAAATACAAATCACACTCATCCATATATGGGTACAGAGTATCAAAAAAAAGAAAAAAAAAGAAAAATATTCTGTAACATGAAAAAAAACCTACGACCCCAGAACTTTACACTCAAACAATTGTTCCGTATTTACAAACACAAAACAATTCAGGGAACACATATTGGGTAAAATGTTAATGAGAAAGCATACACAGGTTCATAATGCATTGTCATTTAGACTCAAAATACATTTTGCTCAGCCTGACTGAATACTGATATATGTACATATTCTATGTATACAATGTTCTACTCAAAATACTCCAAACAGATTAAATAACAATTTATTACAGAAAAAAAGAAAATCACCAAAATAAAATGACAGTGGCTTAAGTTAATGACTTGATTGTATCGATAAAGGGGTCTGGACTGTAGATGTAGAACACAAGTCACTATCGTAAAAGCTTCTTCACTTCATGACGTGTAAAACCACAATTTATCGCAATAGTGGTGGTTCCTTACTTACTATTCTGAAGGATTAAGTTGGTAATTGTCATAACTGACAGAAGGGTCACCAAATTGCCCCCAAGGCTTTCAATGTAGGAGATCTCCCTGCTTCAGGGTAATGTGCAATTTCAATATGAGAGTTTGAAAAGAGTGGCTCTGCAATGGGCTCCAAATGCTACAGAGGTTTCAAATGTCATAATGTCGTCTGAGAAAAATGTAGTGGTGCTGTTTTAATGTGCACAGCAAGTGGTGCTTCAGGATTATTATTCACACGTCACAGTAATGCTGTAGAATAGACAGCTACAGTCAGAGGAACTTCCCGAAAGCAAGGAAGTTAAAAAGTTGCAATCTAAAGTATGTCTAATAAGTTAACCCCATTCTTCCAAAAAGCTTAAGTTAAAACAAAGAAGATTGAAAAACACCTTTATCTGCAGTTTTTTCGGTGTGAGGCTACCTTGTTTAACAATATTATGTTAATAGTCCAGTTACGAAAACCCTTCTGCAGTAAAGTCATCGGCCAGCCATTATGGAAAATCTAGACTACAACAAGTGAAATGTTAGCAATCACTGTCAAACAGCCTCGGATCCATTCACTTCTGCCATAATCCCATGACAAAACAACGTCAGTGTTTCCCCTTATGTAGGGATTAACACAAATGTCACAATTAGGATACCTTTAAGACAAGTTAATTCCTAATAAACCAGGTGTCCATTATAATTAATGAACACTAGTATTTGGTTAAATGCAAAGACCTAAAAGTTAAAAAACAAATGAGTGAATGCGGTGAAAATGTCTAAAAGTAGAGCAATGACAAAGGGAAACAATGGAGTGTGCTAGTTGTTTTTTCCACTTTTAGAATTTTGACCAGATTGGTTTAACAGGTTATACAAGAGGAGGCCAATGACAGTCATAATTGCTCATTTCTCCACAAGGAGTTAATTTCTGAAATAATAATGCCAGGGACGGACCCTTTTTAACCCCTTAATGACACAACTTCTGGAATAAAAGGGAATCATGACAGGTGTCCTTAAGGGATTAAAACAATCTTCTACTAATCAAAAATGGGAATTGCCTGGTATCTGGAATTAAACTAAGCTGAATCCATTTATAGCTCTGAGCCTGTTGAGTTCCATTAAACTTTTCTGGTAGGCAGCATGAATCAAACTAACATAGTACTAATTAACAGCAACGACATTGGTTCCAGAATTCCACTATAAGTCCATGTTGATTCAACTTATTGAGGACAGTAATGCTGTTACACAAATATTTAATTGTATGAATTGTGCTGTGCTTTGATTGGCTTCCCCAATTAGAGTCACAAGATTCAGTAGCCAGATGCAAAGACATTCATATGTTGAGTTTTCACATCTGGCTTGGCTTCTACTGTATGACACCTACCTATTTGATTTGGTAAAAAGAATGATCTTGAGATTTTCTGAACAAAGAGAGTGGAAGATTTTTTTTTTGTGTTATTAAACCAAAATTGGGTGGTGGATTGTGTAAAACTGGGGTTTTCAAATGCTAGATGTTCAGTGATTGTAAAACCTCAAATTCAGATCTACCTTTTGGATACACATGCGACAAAATTTTTTACAATGACCAACATGAAGGTTATAAATTAAGCGGTCGGATATGCGCCATATAAAACAAGGTACACATACTTATAAATCAGAATACATAAGAGCATAATAGTAGTTTATATACATATAATGCATATATCCGATTATATTGGTGGTTAAGACCTCTAGTTATCAAACTTTGGATGAAAAATAAAAACTATCAAACCAAAAAAAAAATTCTGCTTATTAAGATTTTAAACCTCCCCCACAACCCCAAAATGTTGTGATATTTAAGAAGCAAGTATGGTATTAGCAGCTGGCTGAGTGTGCACACTGAGTGGACACTTTTGGCTCATGGTCCAGAGTCTGAAGGAATAAGACATCTCAGCCTAGATTAAAAGAAAATTATTTGTGATTTTTGTTCATGCTTGCAGCGTCACTTAGTTTCAGAGTCTCCAATCAGAAGTTTTGGCACCAACAAAAACTAAAAGTACTAATAAAATGCCTGAGATACTACAGTGACTGTAAGCTTGTAACAAAGTTGTAACATATCGCAGAAGCATCATCGACTTTCGAGTATGCAGGTCAATGGGAAAAAACAAGGCACAAGTTCCCAGAGAAGAGACAGGACAAAACAAGGTGGGGAATAAAGGATGAGTAATAATTCTAAGCAGCATCAGTGAAACATGCACTGCGCCTCTGGACACCAAGAGTGAAAGACGTTTTATAACCAGCGCGCCCAGTTCAGAATATTATCTTTCCTTTACTGCATTGCTTGAACCAGTAAAATATCCCAATATCTCCTCCAGCATAATTTCACGTGTGAGAGCAACACAGAGGAGCGAGCTGAACCCTCTGGCAACAGTTAAAGAATTAGGCTTAAAAAGAAACCATTATAAAAATAGATTTTATATGCTGTAGCACTTATTACTATGGGCTACTTTGTGAAGTTGTAATGGTCGTATCCTTTAAGTTAAACAATGTTAGGGTTTTATTCCTCCTTTAACCTCAGCCTATAATCCGTGAGCACAGGTCAGTGTCTTAATCTAGGCAGGTATATCAGACTATTGCCAGTGATTCAAGCAGTTAGACTGACAGACTGCTGACTGTAGAATACTCAGGGAACCCAGCAGCTCACACTAGACAAAGGGAAATTAAATCAGGACCAATAACCCTTTATACTTGAAATCTGTTAACATATGCTACAGCTTAGCAAAAGTAAACATTTTTTTTATCATGGTTTCTTTTTAAGAATAACAGCGTATTACTGCTAAATCATCTCTGTAAAGCAAAGATATTATAAGGACACATAACTGCATTTCTATTTAAAACACACAGCCATTGATTACTCAGTGCAAAACACAGGTGATGGCTTCGGAAGCACCAACGGTGTACAAAATATCAAATATCACTCCTCTGCCACATTCACAGCACAGTAGGACTTGTTACCGGTTTACTGACAAAGAGACCATGATATTATATTTGCCCTCTCTAGTAAGGCAAGGGTTAAAAGGGCATTTAAATACTTTTAAGTACAGGAAGACTTAACCACCTTAAATGTTTCCCCCCCAACCCAGAAACGGACAATTTAGTTATGACACCAGACTTCCTGCAGCCTTTGGTATCTCATGCTTCGGAAATTTCAGACTTGCTGAGCGCTATTGCAAGCTCAATATCTTCCTGTTCCTGCTGCTTCAGCCTCGACAGTCTCTGCTCCTCTTCTCTCTCACTTTCCCTCTTCGCCCATTCGATCATATCATCCTCCGACTGGTACTGCAGATTTCAAGAAAGACATTCACTAGCTGAGAGAAATCTTAGAAACGTATAAAAACATTAAATCAATAAAGTAAAGAATACAAAACAAAAGTTATTCAAGAATTTTTAGTGTACATGGGAAGTCCTACCTTGCTGGCAAATGGATAAATGTGAAAACTGAAAAAGTGGCACTCACAGTCCTTCTACAGCCTTCAAGATTAACATGTGATCTTATAAACGGATTGTTAATATTATAGGTGAGCGCAAGCACATAGATTGCCCCAACAATCAACAAATAAAACATAAAAGGAAAAAAATAAAATAATAGGTTAAAGGGTAAAAGACAAGCATATTAAAACAAATAAATTATATGTATCTATGTGTCTGCTGAATACATACACACACACACTGTCTGCTGAATACATACACACACAGTGTCTGCTGAATACATACACACACACAGTGTCTGCTGAATACATACACACACACACAGTGTCTGCTGAATACACACACACACACAGTGTCTGCTGAATACATACACACACACAGTGTCTGCTGAGTACATACACACACACACAGTGTCTGCTGAATACATACACACACACAGTGTCTGCTGAATACATACACACACACAGTGTCTGCTGAATACATACACACACACACAGTGTCTGCTGAATACATACACACACACAGTGTCTGCTGAATACATACACACACACAGTGTCTGCTGAGTACATACACACACACACACACACACACAGTGTCTGCTGAATACATACACACACACAGTGTCTGCTGAATACATACACACACACACAGTGTCTGCTGAATACATACACACACACAGTGTCTGCTGAATACATACACACAGTGTCTGCTGAGTACATACACACACACAGTGTCTGCTGAATACATACACACACACAGTGTCTGCTGAATACATACACACACACAGTGTCTGCTGAATACATACACACACACAGTGTCTGCTGAATACATACACACACACAGTGTCTGCTGAATACATACACACACACAGTGTCTGCTGAATACATACACACACACACAGTGTCTGCTGAATACATACACACACACAGTGTCTGCTGAATACATACACACACACAGTGTCTGCTGAGTACATACACACACACACAGTGTCTGCTGAATACATACACACACAGTGTCTGCTGAATACATACACACACACAGTGTCTGCTGAATACATACACACACACACAGTGTCTGCTGAATACATACACACACACACACAGTGTCTGCTGAATACATACACACACACACACACACACACACACAGTGTCTGCTGAATACATACACACACACACAGTGTCTGCTGAATACATACACACACACACAGTGTCTGCTGAATACATACACACAGTGTCTGCTGAATACATACACACAGTGTCTGCTTAATACATACACACAGTGTCTGCTGAATACATACACACACACACACACACACAGTGTCTGCTGAATACATACACACAGTGTCTGCTGAATACATACACACACAGTGTCTGCTGAATACATACACACACAGTGTCTGCTGAATACATACACACACAGTGTCTGCTGAATACATACACACACAGGCTGCTGAATACATACACACACAGGCTGCTGAATACATACACACACACATACTGCATTGAGGGGTGCAGTGTGTGTGTGTGTGTGGAGTGCATTGTGTGAGGGGTGTGGTGTGAGAGTGGGGAGTGCTGCGCTGTGTGTGGGGTAGGAGTGCAAGCTGGTAAAGATACATAAAAAAAAAAAAAAGGATAAATTCAATCTTTATTCCCCCCCCCCTTCTTACCTTTGGTGAAAGAAGGGGGTACACAGCCATCCCTGGTGGTCCGGTGGTTGTATGTGTCTCGGAAGCAGCTCTCCTGTCCTCCCATGCGATGCTGTTTGTAGCGATGCCATGGTAATGCGTGGCAACGCTCCACACAGATTGCTTGCAGGAGGACAGGAGAGCTGCTTCCGGGTGCTCCCGACAGGAAAGCAGAGTAGGCATCTGCCATTTTGGGCAGACAGGTGCCTACTCTGCGTTGCTGCCAACAGCCAGCAGCCCCTTCCCCCGACGACCTATGGCCGCCTGCCCACAGAGAGGGCCTGGCGTGCCACCTGTGGCACACGTGCCATAGGTTCGCCATCACTGTTATAGGCTGTAACAGGTGAAGCTGGGGACATATAAGATCACTGAGATGTGGATTGCAGTAGTAAAGGTGAGAGAGGATAGCGGCATGGACCAGCAATTAGCTGCATCTGGCGTTAAATAGGGGAGGCTGTGAACTATGTTTTTGAGATGAAGCAGCAGGATTAGGTGAGTGACTGGACATGAGGGGTGAAGTAGAAGTTGGTGTCAAAGATCACCTAGGTAGTGAGCCTGCAAGGTAGAACTGATGATAGTGCCATTGACTTGGAGGGAGACAGACACGGGAGTAAAAAATCTTTAGGAAGGAAAGACAAGTAAAGTTTAAGAAAATGAGCTGTCATCGGGCAGACTAGATGGGCCGAATGGTTCTTATCTGCTGTCACATTCTATGTTTCATCTAGTTATAGATAGCAGAGAGGCAATCATAGACACGAGTCAAGAGGGATAGTGAGAGATCGAGACAGAACAGATGGTTTTTCTTTTCTTTCTGGTTTCATTTAGTATACACCCTTGTCTAAGCAACAAGGGCTGGATGTGTCAGCAGCACATACAGCTTCAGGTTCTTTGATTCCTGACCTCAATATTCACTATGGCCACGTGTGTGGTTTCTCCTCCCCAGCCCCCCTCTAAAATACACTTGTTTTTCCTACTGTCCCTTTAAGCGTTAAGCATGGATATGTACAGCAGACCTAGGCACTGCTTACATTATAAAATGTCCTTTACAAAGAAAAACCCCAAAAAACAAAGAATAAAAAATAAAATAAAGTTAGTATGGCTTCAAAGCCACTGTATAATTTCCAATCTAGAGTCCTTCACCGTGCTATGTATTTCTCGCTAGATAATGGTACCCATGCCCGACTTGCTCCACAGACTGTGTGCAGTAAATTAAAGGTCCCATTATTACAGTTTTAAATGTAACATGTTTTTCTGTAGATAGTCTCCATCAGTCTCTACCCTCCAGCTAGCTGTATGTGTTTATGTCATTAACAATATCAAGTCTTGTTGCAATAGTATTCCTTTTACAAGATGCTTCATGAAGGAAATCTTTAAATAGCAGCAGAATCATGATGCAGAGGCATTTCTGCACCTTAAACAGAATATCACAATGGTAGGAAAGAGATCTGACCATAATTTGACTCATGTAGCAGTTCCCCTAGGGACATCCAATGGGTGATGAATTTACCAGCAAAGCACCATAGAAGATGCTACTCGTAGGCTGACGCAGGGTTACATCATGGCCATTTCAATCAATCTATTATATGGGTAAGTGCATTCATGCTTTTAGAGCAATGTTTCCCAAGGCAGAATTTATCTTCATAACCCCCCCCCAAAAAACAGAAAACATAGGCAACACATTGATACTTTGGGAATCACACTTTTAAAGGCTGAAAACATTAAATTGTGTTGTGAAGGTTTAATGAATTGTGGGATTTATGTACCTCTTTTAAATTTCATAAAATGGACTCCACCACGAACTACCTGACACTTTAACCTGGTACGGCAAGGCACCTGTGACCGTTACCTGGTAGGGGAAAGGCACCGGTGGACGTCACGTGTGAGAAAACAACCCTGTATAAATATTCCTAACATAAATGGTCACTTATGCTGGCTGTAACAAAGGCTTCATATTTATGCTCTTTGAGTAGAATGTGATTCGTAACCCATGGCTGATGTGAGTATCTCTCTATATGGGTTTAAGAATGCTGTAAAAGTTCTGAGTTCTGAGTGCAGTTTTACACAAAGGTCATGCTGGCACTATGTTATGCCAGTTTTAAAGAATACTCCTCTTTGGTGAAATAATTAAGATTAATTCCTTCTATGCTGGAATAGTACAGATATCTCCCATAGATTGTATTTTTCATAAGTAAGCCTGATTTAAATTAAATCTGCTCCCAAACTGAACCTGAAATTAATAATAAGCTGTATTTACAGGTAAGTGTTCAGTGTTTTCTCATTTCCTTGTACCTAGCACTGTTGCTTTCAAGTATATTATCATCCATTCATGGTGTGTTCTTTCAGGACTGGCAATGCATTATTTGACTGCTTTAATTTTTGGTAATGTTTCATGTTTTGCACAAGATTGTAATTTCTACTTCTGTGGTGACAGAGAATAAAGAAATGTAATCTACATACGTTCTATTAAAAGATGAAATTATATCCTAGCCATCATGTCACTGTGCAAGACGTGTGCATCTACATTTATAAAGCACATACACTTCAAAGCATTGAAGGCAAGGCAAACTTAAAAATAAAAAATAAAAATAAAAGTTTTAGATTGCTATTTGCAAAACCAACATAAGGAATGGAAATCAACAAAGATATAATTGACAACTTTTACTTGAAATCTTTTTAAAATAACAATACAAGAGATAGTAAATCACCATAAAATGTTACAAATTTTACAAAACAGAAAACCCATCACACCATAACCATCCCCTAATATCCAGATACGCACACTGCTGCTTCAGGAGAAGACGTTAGAGTCCTGATTGGCTCTGGGTTGTACTTGAGTTGGTACTTACAGTGTTGAAACGGACGCTTTTGGCTTTCTCTGTGCCTTTGCTAAAAGTGAACGGATCAACATCGGAATCACTGAATAAGCTGTTAAATTGCTTGAAGGAATCGCTGTGTCTTAAGGAGTCGGACGATTCAGCAGATCGAGAAGAAGGCCTCCTTTCTAAACATTATAAAACGACAAGAAACAACTTAGAAATCAAACGTTCATTTTAATACTATACACAGCGTTTTCCGCTAAACCACATGGGAAATTCTACATCTCAACTATTCCTTCAGCAAATCTGCAATTTAGTGGTCAATTGTTTACAATTTCCGCAAATAGCCCTTACAGTCTCCAAAAAGGATATGCGTGCTAATTTTCTACATTGAGGAAATGTGATGTGCATTCCTCGGACACTTTTTCGCTGTATGAACTACAATAAAAATAAATAAATGTATTTTTAAATTGTAGACATTCAATTTTTACATTTTTTGGAATAGTTACATTATTTGCACAAGGTTTTACTTTCTATTTCTGTGATAATGAAGGAAATATATATATATATATATATATATATATTTATATATTTGTAGTCGGGGCAATATGGCCGAACAGAGAAATCTTAGCATAAAATAATCATAACATCCATAAGTTAGCACCAGTCGGTTGTGGTGTGCCAGAACCGACAAAGCAGTAGGCCTGTAATAAAAGTGGGCCCACCTTAGAGGGTCTTATAAATAGAGGGAGTGGTGGGAGGGTTGACTAGCCAGACCAGCAACGGTAAGGTGGGAGTGGATTGCCAGCCCTTTTAAAGGGGAACCAAGCCCCTCCCACAACTACAGGCCAAGCCTTCATATTTGTAGTCGGGGCAATATGGCCGAACAGAGAAATCTTAGCATAATATAATCATAACATCCATAAGTTAGCACCAGTCGGTTATGGTGTGCCGGAACCGATAAAGCAGTAGGCCTGTAATAAAAGTGAGCAAAAAGAAAATTACCAGGAAACATAATTCGTGAACCAACTTCGTTTATTGAGATAAGTCACAAAAAGCTTGTCTTAATTCTTTAACGGGATTAGGTATTATATATGTTCTAGAGAAAGATTACATTTTATCATAGTCATAGGATTATAAAATATATATATATATATATATATATATATATATATATATATATATATAAATAAAATTCACACTGGGTCCCGCAGTCCTGCTCCCAGTCTTGTTTATTGCCTAGGTGCCACTCCAACCTCAAAATATAAAATACCTTGTTGGAAGTGCACTTCTAGGACTCGATACTGTTGCCAAAAATGTGCCATTTATTCAAGCTTCAAAAGTTGATTACATAGTGTCGATGTTTCAGTCCACTAGGGACTTTTTTCAAGTCCTGTGAGTGCACTTCCAACAAGGTATTATATATACAAATAAATGTATTTGTAGGGAATGTTTTTCCACAAATAATTGTCATTCATCCAAATTCTAGATGCCAGATGATTATAAAGCATAATTTGTCATAATCATGGCTGTATATAACCTAGCCAAATCCATATTTGACTCAAAGTAATTTGTCACAAGAGTTTTAAATCTTGCCAGATATCTTGCATGCTGTACACACCTGGAGGAGGTGGGCATGGTCGCGTGGGGGTTCCAGTTTTGGGGGGCAGTGCTGGGGGGACATCTTCAAGCTGTGATGATTCATCAGGAAACAAATTCTTACTTAAAACCACTTCCTTGTCTGTGCTGGTTATAGTGGCATCAAACGCATCTGTACTGCTAGTCACCTGTACAATTAACATGAAAAGCACAGAGAAGGCTTAATGCTGGGGTTAATGTGAAAACCTAGGATACTTCAACAATCAAGGACTGTATTGTATTCACTTCACCAGAAGTTAGATCTATACAAATGGGAGCGAAGTATTTTAGTAGACATTTTCTCATGTCACTTAAACAGTTATATCACATGTCCACGCAAATGATCTGCTAAACACATTCTGCACAGTGTGCCATTCATTGGTTGAGAGCAGTCAGATGACACTGGATCATGAAAGCTGCAGAAGTTGGAAGCGCATCAGCAGTGGAGATAGGAACCTTGGAGCCCTGCAGACAACCAGGTAAGAGTATGGATCATTGCTAAATGGCTTGCCCCATTTCCGGGAAACCGGGCTATGGTACCGCTGGCATATTTACTACAGTAGGCTGTAGTGGTTATGATGCTTGGAGTAACCCTTAACCTGCAACAACATGTTAGGATGTTATAGAATTTTCTCTTTTTTTCAAAATTTTTTTTTTTTTACCACCACCTTATTATACTGGGATTGGAGGTGGATCACTTTCCTCTGGATCATTTTTATACATTGTTAGCGCTTTTTGAAGCATGTACCATTTCACCAATGTTTTATGACATCATTAAAGGACCACTATAGTGCCAGGAAAACACTCGTTTTCCTGGCACTATAGTGCCCTGAGGGTGCCCCCACCCTCAGGGTCCCCCTCCCGCCCGGCTCTGGAAAGGGGTTAAAACTTACCTTTTTACAACGCTGGGCGGAGAGCTCTCCTCCTCCGATCCTCCTCTTCTCCTCCCTGTCAGCTGAATGCGCACGCGCGGCAAGAGCTGCGCGCGCATTCAACCGGTCACATAGGAAAGCATTCATAATGCTTTCCTATGGACGCTGGTGTGCTCTCACTAAAGCACGCAAGCGCCTGTCAATGAGACAGCCGTTAGAGGAAATAGGGGAAGGCTTAACCCATTCATAAACATAGTTTCACTGAAACTGCTATGTTTATGAAAAAATGGGTTAAGCCTAGCTGGACCAGGCACCCAGACCACCTCATTAAGCTGAAGTGGTCACAAATACAAAAAAATACACCGACTCCCTCCAAGCATTATCCTAAAATACTCACCAGTGTTCCCACAGTCACCAACCAGAGGGTATCACACTAACTACAGATGATTTAGGTTTTTCATCTTTCCTAATTATAATCAGGTTGTCAGATCAGCATCTTACAAGCCTTCATTTTTTTCTAATAATTGTTCCTATCTTTGTCCTATTGGTTGAGATATTTAGAAGAGACAGCGAAGCAGATTAAAGAATCCAATATGATTTCTCACCTTTGACAATGTGCTAAAGTCGGCAAATCCACTTTCCAAGGTCTCATTACCAAACACAGATGCAAATGGATCCTCGGTCACTGAAACACAGTAAAGAAGGGTAGGACAAGGGATGTATAAGGTCAGACAATAAAATGCTCGCACAGTGTAGAAACAAAAGCAACACTCTAGGATGCAGAGCTGTGATACCATCTGCTTTTGGACCAGCCATTAGCAAACTGCTTAATTTACTAAAGTGAAAATTGTCAGGAATTCAAAGTAAGTTTTAAATTTAAGGCCAGAATAGCCTAACTGAATCTCAAATTTAAAAATCAGAAAAGAAAAACTGGAGCAATGTTTCAAGTTCAGGTACGAGATTGATTTAGAATTCCTGACAATTCACAGTTTAGCAAATAACCCTGCCAGAATCCATAGCAGGAAGCGGCAAAAATAAAATGTTACATCAACTCACCGGAATCATTGGCTGGGGAGACCACAATTCCACCAGGAGCAAATGGGTCATTCTTTTTTACAACAGCTCCCTAAAAAGATAAGATTTGTTAAAAGACGTTCACAGACAAGGATCCACTACAAGACACCAGTTAAGTGCACGGAACGTATATATTCCTGGCATTCCAAACTCAATAAAATGCAAACCATTTAGTGGGGTTATAACATCCAATTTACAGGACAAAGTTGGAAATTCATGGAAGATAGAAGATCATGCTCGTCACTAAATAAAATAGTGCATCTGGAAAGATATTAAGTGCATCTAAAAAACTTCCTCATGGCCCCAAAGATGCTTAAGAAATAGATACCCTTTTATACATTTTTATTTTACAGTACTAGGGCACCAGAGGCTAACACCCTACGAAAAGGACAAGATCTAAAGACAGTAAAAAGTGTTCCAGAATGTCAATGTAAATAGCTGCTCCTGAACACAAATTGTGAATGAGGTTTACACACTGGTCAAGTCAATCCTGAATGGTATGGCAGTAAGCCATGATCTTTCTGTACCTTATTACAAGAGACAAATTACAGCCTTGTTCCAGAAGAGGGGTAAACCAAACTGGTTTTAAATAAGTTTCACCTTCTACATAGTAGACAAATGGTATATCAAAAAATGGGTCGCAAGAGTATTCTGAGAACGGACAGCAGCTAAAATAGCCTGCCCTTCAGTGGGTCCCCGCTCAGAACTCAAGCTGGTTTTAGCTCATCTTGTGCCATTACAGAGAGAACATATCTGAAGCATATCAGACTGGTCCCACCCATACGGGCAGTCCAGATCCGAAATGCTAGCAAGTTGCTCGGCTCGGATCCGAGACTGGGGTATTCTGCCTTATTGCGGACTCATATTTACTTGGCAGCAATATGGCCTGAAGGCAGGTGGGAGCAACATGCCTGAAGTGGAGCTGCCCTTCAACTGTGGCCCAGTAGTGGCCTTGGATGAACCTGGCGGGTGATTTTTCAGAGCCGCTCATAATATCTGGACACTCAATGTATAACCCTGCATTCAAGATTTAAATTTATTGTTTTATATTTCATGTTCTACGCCTTAGCCTATTAGGTTCTCAATTATTACTAACAACCCACTGGCACTACAGATACAGCTCACACTGTCAGCTAACTTAGCATGTCATGCCTTCTGCCACTCGACAGGCCAACATGCTAGCTTGATATCTAGCGTTTTACTTTTGATCTACTGGCATGTTAACATGCTCTCTGTTACTACTACATGATTACAGCAGTGATAAGTGTACCAAGCCTGTTAACTTTAAGTCTTAAAAATATGACCGACAGTCAAGAGGTTTTTGGTTTTTCTTGTGTTTCTTCACTCATTTTCCGAACCAAGAGAGACTATTATATGCCTGTGATTACGTGTTCTACCTCCTTACTGTATTTTTGGATTCTCCTCAATGTCTTAAATAAAAAAAGATTGACAAAAAAAAAAACTTGGAAACTATTGGAAGACTAAAAGATTGCATAAACTATACACAACATTCCCAATAGTGTATTTGGAATAACAGCAGCAGCAGATATTAAGTGCATCTAAAAACAAAAAAAACAACAAAAAAAACAACAACAAAAAGCAACAAAAGCAACAAAAAAAACAACAAAAAAAACAACAACAAAAACAACAACGCACTGAGGGAAAGCTGCTCGGTGATGCTGTACTGGTGAAAGGAGATGCTGTACTGGTGAAAGGATCTGCTCTGGAGGACGTGAAAGGGTCTCCTTTGGAGGACGTGAAAGGATCTGCTGAAGACGGTTTGAAAAAGTCATCGGAAGCAAAAGGATCGGAGTCTTTGAAAGGATCGCCACCAAATGGGTCTGAAAAATGTGTAAAAAGCAGAGAAAAAAAAAACTAGCCCAATTTCTAAGCATTGAATATAATCAACGATTAGAATAACACTTTATTTGTGAAAGTGCTAAAATATTCAACAGCACGAAAGTGTAGATACAATGACATATGTAAATGGTTTCAATCAGCACAATATTCTTAAATGTTAACAGACTAATCACTTCACATCAAGAAATAATGTCAAGCTACATACTAGAAACATACTAGAAACACAAAGAATTAGTTGGCTTAAAAATAATCTGTCATCGTACTTGCAAACGCAGATAGAAATTTACTGATTAATTCTTACTTTGTTTTTCTTGATTACTGTGATTGAAAATATACCCACATCTGCAGTGTTTGTGGGATATTTTACACTTTCAGTGGACATATATATTGGGTGTGATATTTTTGTATATTTTTTGGTGAGTTTTACAACCTGGTTTTTAACTACTTTTTTGATTCATTTATCTTGGATATTATACAGATTTAAAGGGACACTGTGCTCCTGCATTGGTTAATCTTGGCAGCATCCAAGATTTCCTACACTTCATTTTTAATCATGCTTAGCCATGCATCAAGGCGAATGCAGTTCTGAAACATCAGGGTGCCAAGATTAACGTGCAATGGCCTATACAGCATGGACACAGATCAGTAGATTGTAACCTTAAATCTCACTTTGAAAAAAAATTCTGTAAAAGAGATTTAAAGGGGCACAAAAGTCATCTCATCCTTTTAATGCTGAAATGTAAAACATGGCAGTTTATTATTTAGAAACTGCAATGTTTACATTATAGGGTTTAATCCACCTCTAGTGGCTGTCTTCCGGATACTGACTAGCGGCACTTCAGCTGTACTGACAGAGTGTAACACAGTCACATGACGCTGAAGCTCATAGGTACGTTACAGGGAAGCTTGGATGCATACTCGGCACACAGTGCATGTCTATCAGGTCCCCAGTGCTTTTTGATAAGGAGCATTGGAGTGGTCTTGCCTCTTGAGGACGTCCTTGATGACGTTGCAGGAAACAGAGGTTGATCCTCCAGATCCTCTGCACTGGTATAAGTCACATTTATTTTAGCAATTTTTACTGCCCCCTGGAGAACATGTATATAACTATGGACGGGTACTATAGCATCAGGAATACAGGTTTGTATTCTTAACGCTATAGTGTTCTTTTACCCAGCGGTGCTATTATCACTTTAATATAATCTAAGAGTCGAAAAAATGTATCACACATTAGAATGTTTTACAGATCAAAAGTAGCAAACACAGCTAGGTGGCTGCAAAGAGGAAAAAGCCTGTAAATGCTAAATCTTTTATCTTATCTATGAGTAGTGTGAGTCATTCAGCTCTAGCTAACATTATCCTTTCACACTGGGTATCTTTCTACAGGCAACCCTACCTATTCTAGTACAGAGATCTTCAGCTCGTGACTGGCCCGGTTTCATTTCACTATTTAGATAAAATGACTAACATGTCACAACGAGGGAGAGAGGCAAGAAAATGAAAATCTACTGACCTATTTTTCCAAACGGATCATCTTTAAACGGATCACCTGCAAATCAAGGAAGATGGGGAAAAAGAAAGAAAGGTGGTTAAAATGTGGGAAATTTTTTAGATTTATTACAAAATCTTAATAAATGGTTTTAAAAAAAAAAATATCGAAGGAATTTAGAAATATCTTCCTGGGGAAGAATAAACGTGGTTAATTCAGGTTATCCCAAAATGGAACTATATGTTCCAAATGCTGCCATTATATATTTCTAATTATTGGTTGGAGCTGATACAGAAAGGTTTCACCCAATATATTTGGAAAGGTAAGAAACCAAAACTGAGTCACTCAACACCAATACAAAAATTAGGAAGAGGAGGATTAGCCTATCCTTTAATATCAAATAATTATAGAGCAGCTACAATTTTACACATTTACAGGATGCAAATAGAAGATAATAAAAACAACAAGTTGCAGACATAAACCTTAACAATTGGAAACAGGCAGGAATTGTACGGATGTCTCAGCTATTCGTAGAAGGAACAATTAAAACCTTTGTTCAATTAATACAGGAATACAGCTTACCATCAAAAGAGCTGTTTAATTTTTTGAGACTTAAAAGCTTTTTGACGACTCATTTAATTGTACCAAAATCTAGTTTAAACAACATGGTAAATATATTATTTAATTCAGATAAAATAAATAAACCGCTCTCCAAAGCTTTGCTATTAAGTAAAATGTGTAATAAAGAACAAATACCAATAGCTATAGCTGCTTGGAAAGAAGAACTAAACATATATATAAATATCAAGTACTGGGGTTCTTCACTGATAGAAGTCTCGAAGAATATACACTCGCTAAATTTATTAGAAACCCATTTTAAGGTTCTTAATAGATGGTACATAGTACCAAATAAATTGAATAAAATGTACCCCACAACAAACCATTTATGTTGGAGATGCGGCATAGCTACAGGTACTTTTAAGCATATTTGGTGGGAGTGTAACAAATTGAACAACTTGTGGTCTAATATCCAAAGGTTTGTGTCCGCAGATCTGAACCTTGAGTTGAGGCTCTCCAGAGGTCGTCCTGCTTCATCTAAACTGGCCGGCAATGGCGTATGAGTTGAAAATGATTCTTATTCATCTTTTTTTAGCTGCCAAAATTGTGATTGCGAGAAGTTGGAAAAATGATAGCCCAGCTTAAGTTTCAGATTAAAATGGAACTGATGTTGAACAAACAAAAATCAAGTAAAAAAGTAACTGTTTGAACGAAGTGTTGGGAGCGGATTAAAAAATAGAGTTTTCGGGGGGCGGGGCCTGACAGCCAAGATGGCCGGTCGCACAGTCTAAGAGCTCCTGTAATAAAGAGCATAAACTGGCTACCACAGAGCGACCTATCCACGATGGCAACAAACAGTGCCCGGGGACCGAGCCAAGACACCATGAGACATAGAATGGTACCGGTCCGGTCCCGATGCGATGCAGAGAAACCCGCGACGACCATGCGGCCTTCGGCAGAGCAAAGCCTGAGGTCCGGGAGAGGCGGCCGCTCACCCGGCACAGGACACACTCACGAGCGAGATTTCCACACAGCCCTGCTACCCCCCCTCTGGACCGGCGGGGGATATCCCGGTCCTCGCTGGGGGCGACTACCCCCACAATATTGCCTGACCAAGCGACGATGTCTAAAGCAAAACGGAGAGAGCAAGGCCCAAACAAGATGGCGGCACAGAAGCAGCCTACAATTACGCGCCCACTCACTGAGCCTCCCAAGCATACACGGGAGTTTTTTGACCGGCTCCGAACCAGCCTCTGGACACAGCTTAATACACGGAGACTGACCTTCAAGCAGGTGATGAGAGCAGTAGCGGGATGGATCCGCCCGGCACTCCGCCGCCAGCTGGGAGTAAACCCCCCTAGAGCCAGAACGGCCCCCAGACAGAGCCGGAGCAGAAGGCCACCACAGCGGGAAACGGTGCAAGATTGCCTGGTCACCGGCACCAACGCCCCCACGCACCAATTCGAAATCCGCCGGTGCACCCGACCCACTCGCCCTACAGTGGCTCCAGAGACCTATGCCCAGTATGACATGCTGCCGCACAGGAGAACCCATAGAACAGGCCGCAACACCGACCAGGAGACAGGGGGGTCGGCTACCCTGGAGAAGCCATCAGCCTGCAATCAGACCATCTCTAAACGGGGCATCGGCTGAAACAAACACTGGACCGAATACCTGAGGCGGACGGCCGCCGGCTGCACTGGACACTGAGAGCCGTAAAACGCACTCAAAAGCCGGTGATTTCCCCCTCCATTGACTAACGCACTGTGCAACCTGCCAGTACCCTTTATTTGCTTTAATCGGATATGTTTTACACGCTTAGTCAGCCTACTGTAACTCTAGGCATCTCACTTCTTCATATGTTAATGTAGCCTTAGTGTATATACCTAGATCCGCAGTCTAGCCTGCTTACCATGCATGCACTAATGAGCATTTGCCTCACAAGCCAGACACACTAGCACAGGTTACTAACCTAGGTCAGACATGTAAATTTACCTCCTGTACCCACAACGCTGGCTAATGCGACCTACATTTACCAATAACCTGATCTACTCAATACTTTTAAGTTTGAATCCAAGTTATCTCCACATGACTATGCCTAAAGCTGGCAAATGTGTGCAAATGTATGCAATTTACCTTTTTTCTGATGTACCATAAAATAGGGCAATGTTTTGCTTTACATCGTAGTCAGCATAGGGTAATCTAGCCCTCACATAATCTGTTACATCGGAAAGGTAACATTCGCTCCATAGCATCTTAATCCAGTTTAATACAAAAAAAAAAAAAAGATTCAATTAAGCGACTCACAAAACCGAATCAACCACACTAGTTTGCTGGTATAGTCACCGTTACACTAGACACAGCATCTTAATTTTATTCCAGGAGCAGAAGTTAAGCAAAGATTTTATTTTATGTTATGAACATGCTTAAGTAATGACAATCGATACTGTATACCGCATAACTAAACCTTATAAAAATGTGCAAGATCAATCCTGTACCTCTATGTTTAACTGTTTTATAATGCGCTGGAAGATTGCCTTTGGGGTACTTCCCAAGCGATTGTACTAAACTTAGGCACTACAAAAATAAAGAATTAAAAAAAAAATAAAAAATAAAAAATAGAGTTTTCTGCAAATAAAATGTGTCAAAATTAAATTCCTTACAAATTTAAAGGGAAACATTGTTAGATTGGCTATATATACTTTGGATAATATAAGATATACAGTCTTACTCGATATGTATTTTCTCCTCTGCTGCATTGTCTTGTATATGTAGATATGCAAGTTAAATGTATTGTCTTGTTTTTGGTTCGTAAAATGCGTAAAGAAAATTTCCACGGATATATTCTTCAAATGGAAGTAATGTTTCCTACCATTTGTATGTAATTGTTGTATTGTATTGTCTTTTATGAAAAAAACAAACAAACCTTTTCAATAAAAACTATAAAAAAAAAAATAATAATATGTGGGATCCAGAGACCACAAGAATGTTACTGTGAATACTCGTAAGGTCTAAAACCCCTTAAACCCTTAGAATCCCAGAGGTGTGCCCCTTGCACACACATTTACTATTTAAAGAATTATGACCTTTTTTGACAAGTCAGCTGATCATGTGATTACGATAATTAATCAAATTTTTCCATGGGGTGGGACTGACTGGCGAGGCAGGGTGTTTTTGTGCAAACACTACAAAATGTTATCATTTTAAACACTCAAACTCCTTCATTAATACTTTGGACTGGATGCAATAAATATTATGTAATACATCAGCGTGAGACAAGAGTTAGCTGAGGTAATGTAAATTATACCTCCATAAATTATACCGCCATAGCTGGTCACGAGACGTTTGGTGCCTCATCATGCATCATGGTGCCTTAGATGAATTACTGCAAGATTTGTAAAAGGCATTCCATTCTTCACTCCCAAAATAAATATTACTAAAAGCATACACAAACTAAACACAAGAAACATATGGTCTGCAGAACACAATGTGTTTAAAACGCTATAGACCATACAGAGTGGAGTTCAGATAAAGGAAGACATAAAATTAAATTTCTTGGGTTCAGGGATGTACAACAGACTCCAGATAGACTATACCTCCCATTATTCTCTGCAAACTGTAGCATGACAGTTCGACATCCTTTGTTTTAATTGACTATAAGAAAATTTGATCCAAATATAGATTCAATTTTATTATTAAATTTATTTTTGACGAATACTGCTTTCCTAACTGTTCCTAATTTGCTGTAGAACTTGAGTGTGATACTTTTGAGCAGCGTTGTTAAAAACTGGGGGGTTATTTATTTTAAAGTGTTACTCTAAGTTATCCTGACCACTACAGACCGGCACCTTCGACAGCAATAAGATTAAACTCTGTACGTGCAGCGATTCAAAGTGAAACGCTGGACATACAAACTACAGGCAAAATGGTTACTTGGAGTAATCCTTTAAGTTCAGTGTCCCTATTAAATCCCTTCGTTTAGTGTTTAACTGAATGATAGCCAGATATCTAGGACACTTTAACATGCTCTTCCCAGGGACAAAAATCTGCCTCCACCGATTTCAACAGAAACCAGGAACTGGCTGAGAACACCTAAATAAAAATCACTGAGCTCTCAATACATTCAGCTGGAGAATTGATTAGCTTGCTTGGATGTTTCTGATTAGTAGCAATGTCTGATTCCTATGTTAGACTTTGTGCAAACTTTATTTTATTGCAATATACATCATTAACCCCTTAGTGACCAGACATTTTTCAACGTTCTCACCGTTAAGGACCAGGGCTGTCTTTCTGCGGTGTTTGTGTTTAGCTGTAATTTCCGCTTACTCATTTACTGTACCCCCACATATTATATACCGTTTGTCTTGCTATTAAATGGTCTTTCTAAAGATAGCATTTTTTTTTATCATATCATAATTTACTATAAAAAAAATGTAATTTTTTTATAAAATATGAGGACATTTTTTTTTAAAACAAACACCTTTTCTAGTTTTGACCCTCAAAATCTGTTACGCATTTACAACTGCCAAATAAGACCCGTGCTAAATAGTTTCTAAATTTTGTCCTGAGTTTAGAAATACCTAATGTTAACATGCTCTTTTTTTTTTTTTTTGCAAGTTATAGGGCTCTCTCTGAATCACACCTCACATGTACATTTATTTTTTTTATAGTAGACCACTCAGGGTATTCAATATGGGGTATGTCCAGCCTTTTTTAGTAGCCACTTAGTCACAAACACTGGCCAAAGTTAGCATTTATATTTGTGTGTTAAAAATGCAAAAAACTATTATAAATGCTAATTTTGGCCAGTGTTTGTGACCAAGTGGCTACTAAAAAAGACTGAATACCCCATTTGCAATACCTTAGGTTGTCTTCTTTTTCTTCAAATGGTATGCCATCATGGGGGTAATTCTCATTCCTGGGCTACCATACACTCCCAAAGGCAATATAACCAATCTGGCAAATTTCAATGTGAAAAAATGGAAGATCAAACCTGTTATACTCTGGAGAGTGTTTCAAAACAGTAAAACGTATCACAACAATATCAGTGAAAGTGCCGTTTGTGTGTGGAAAATGCCCAAAACTTCACTTTCGCGGACAATATCATCGCTGTGATACGTTTTACTGTTTTGAAACGCTAATATTTGTGTTCAGCGAAGTCTCCCGTGTATAACAATACCCCCCATGTACAGGTATTATGGTGTTTTGGAAAGTTACAGGGTCAATATAGGGCTTGCCCATTTCAGTTTGCTGGGCCTGTGTTGCCTTTTGAGACCATATGGTAGCCCAGGTATGTAAACTCCATCAGGGCATACCATTTGCAAATGTAGACAACCCAGGGTATTCAAAATGGGGTATGTCCAGTCTTTTGTAGTAGCCACTTAATTAGGAATGCTGGCCAAAGTTAGTGTTTTCATTATTTTTTTGCATTTTTTTTTTTTTTTTTTTTTAAACAAAAACTGCACTTTTACTGGTGATATCATCGTTGTGATAAGTTTTACTTTTAAAAACACTCATATTTGTGTTCAATTAAGTCTCCTGAGTATAACAATACACCCCTTATAAATGTTTTATGGTGTTTTGAACAGTTACGGGGGTAAATATAGGGTTTGCCAATTAAATTCTCTGGACTGTCTGCCTGGGTTGTCAGGCAGCTCCCTCAAAATTATAATTAATAAAATCAAATAATTATGTAAAATGAATAGTTAAATATATATGTAAAATGTGTATATATATATATATATATATATATATATATATATATATATATATATATATATATATATATATATATATATATATATATATATATATAAATAAAAAGTATTTATAGCCTGAAACGTTGACCTGTACGGTGTGTATTCCTGTTATTGCTCAATAATGCAACAGTTGCAATTTACTTTAAAGACTCCTGAGTGCTCTCTACTGGGATCGTATACAATTTGGTTGGCGACAGCACCGGAGCAGAGAAAGGCCAGGAGCATCGAGTGCTGGGACCTGGTGTGAGACTCATAAAACAGATCAACAGATGCATTCCCATGTGCTTTCCTTTCAGTCATTAGATATATTCCTTTTAAAAGCAGGTTCTTAACATATTACGTGTGTGTGTACACGTGTGTACAAATCGAGGTGACAATTATTGGAGATTTTAATTACCCAGACATAAATTGGAAGAGTGACTAGTACTTCAGCAAGGGGAATCAGGTTTTTGAATGTGTTAAATGAAACCTTCATGTCACAACTGGCACAAGCACCAACTGCTTGTTTGGATCTCGTTATAACAAACCATGTTGATCTTTTGACCAACATTCAGTAGGGGAGCATTTGGGAAATAGTTATCACAATATGGTAATCTTTGAAATAAACTCAAAAAAGCAAAAGCACGTGGGGTATACTAAAACGTATAATTTTTAAAAAGCCAATTTCAATAAGATTAGTGAAAAAAAAAAAAACCACTGATGATAAATGGAAACTATTCAAACAAATATTAGAAAGGTACATTTCTCAGTATGTACCATTGGGTAATAAATATAAAATAAACAAATTGAAACCAATGTGGCCTAGAAGAGAAGTAAAACAAGAGACTAAAAATATGAAAAGGCCATTTAAAGCATTTAAAGTGGACAAAGCAGATGCATCCTATAGAAGATATAAGGAAGACAATAATGCTTGCAAAAAGGCAATTAAAGTAGCTAAACTAGAAACTGAAAAATTGATAGCCAAAGAAAGCAAAACTGAAGAATATTGCATATTCTATGTTTCTATTGATTATATATGGATGTGTGGATTGACATAAGTAACAGATGGTCTAAGTCACATGGCTTTCTTTGTAGGAGAGCTCTGGAAATGCAAGTTGGGGGTTTTGTCCTTATATGGCTAGAGTTATGCTCTGACGTCAGTATGGGCACTTCTATATAGTAACTGAACAAAGAGACACGAGGTCTCTCTTGGCTCTTGGCTCTCTCTCTCTCTATGTAAAGATGTAAGGATGTAACTCTCCCGGCAGGAGTCCAGCAATTACCATCTGCTGTTGAACATCCATTATCCTGTAACATCCTTTGTTGTTTTATTATGTATCAGTAACTAAGAATAAACCTGAAGAAACCGTAAGTCAGATTGTGTATTAGTACTTTTCATTAATATAGACGTATATTAATGTGGCGAGCAAATTTGGCCCAAGACTATATATACAAAAGACGTGTGTGTGTATATATATATCTATATCTCAATATATCAATCAACTGAAGACAAGAAGAAATTAAGAGGATTCAACATTAACGTTGTAGTTCCATCCAGATTTTACAAAAACCAACCCCAATTTTTTTTTTCCAGGTACATCAATTCTAAAAAAAAAAAACTAAAAATGAAAGTGTAGGTACACTGGAAACAGAGATGGTCTGTTCGTTAATGAAGATCAGGAAAATGCAGAAATGTTAAACTTTTTCTTCAGTATATATTAATCAGGATCCTATGGCAAGAGATATGCAAATGATTGCTGCAAAAAACTTGCAGATAACTTGTGATTGGATGACTCAAGACAAGGTGCTACAGCAGTTAAAGACAATTAATGTAAATAAAGCTCCGGGGCCTGACAGTATTCACCCACGAGTGCCGTGCATGCGCATTCAGCCCATGACAGGAAAGGAGGAGAAGAGTCCTCAGCGCCAAGGGAGCCCGGCGCTGGAAAAAAGGTAAGGGATTAACCCCTTCCTCCCCCTAGAGGCCGGCGAGAGGAGGACCCAAGGACATATAGAGCCAGGAAAACGAGCATGTTTTCCTGGCACTATAGTGGTCCTTTAAGGATAGAGTATAACGAGTTGTCATTAATGGTAAATTTTCAGGCTAGACAAAAGTGGTAAGTGGTGTCCCTCAGGGTTCTGTTTTGGGACCGCTTCTATTTAAAATATTTATAAATGATCTGGAATAGACATTAAAAGCCATGTTTCAGTGTTTGCAGATGACATAAAACTTTGTAAAGTAATAAAATGTGAGCAGGATATTGCTTTGCTGCAGAGGGATTTAGGTAGATTTGGGGACTGGGCACTAAAATGGCAGATGAAATTTTATGTAGAGAAATGCAAAGTTATGCACTTCGGGGTCAAGGATGCACAAGCAACTTACACCCGAAATGGTAGTGAATTAGGGATAACCACACACGAGAAGGATTTTGGAATTGCTATAGACAACAAATTAGGCAGCAATATGCAATGTCAATCTGCAGTTGCTAAGGCCAGTAAGGTTTTGTCATGTATAAATAGGGGCATAAATTCTCTGGATTTAAATATAATTTTGCCTTTTTATAAATCGCTGGTAAGACCACACCTTGAATATGCTGTGCAATTTTGGGCACCTGTTCTATAGAAAGATATCATGGCACTAGAAAAAGACGAGCTACAAAATTGATAAAGGAATGGAGCATTTTAGTTCTGAAGAAAGGTTAAACAATTTAAATCACTTTAGTTTGGAAAAAGAGGGGATATGATAACATTATACAAATATATTCGGGGCCAGTACAAACCATCATCTGGAAATTTATTCATAAACAGGGTTATACATAGGACACAACACAGGGTTCACTCACAGGGTCTTGTGAAAAAAAACTGTAGTTTAATGGAACAAAAAAAATAAAAAAAATAAACACACACAAAAAATAAACTGGTTACATCTGTAATGCAATCAACATTTCAACCCTAACGGGTCTTTTTCTTGATATCGATAAAAGGCTCTCAGTACCCGTTTTTTTGTGTCATCTGGTTATAGGTTAGAATAGAATGGGTAGTCCAGGGTGGATCATATAGAGAAGCAGTAATATCAAGAAATAAAAATAAATATAAACAAATACAAATATATATATATATATATATATATATATATATATATATAATGTCCCACATTTACTGCAAATCTCCAAGGGTTTTAGGAGTCTCACATCAACTAACAGATGTATTCCCATGTGCTTTCCTTTCAGTCATTAGATCTATTTTCCTTTTAAAAGCATGTTCTTAACATGTTTGCCATGTGATTTACATATTTAATATAAATAACCTGGGTGACTTACTGTCAACAAAAGGATCACTCTGGAAGAAATCCAGGCCTGACTCTTGTACTGAAGGGGGCAATGACGTATTCTGGTTGGCATCGAAAGGATCCACTGAAAATGTAACCTGTAAGCACAGAAACAAGGTTCACTGGGGACTTACTCAAAATACAGGAAACAGACAAGTGATCTGCAAAATATAGCTAAAATAGGCAAGTAATAAAACATTAGTAGCCTAAATTCCACATGTTTGCTCAAAAGTTATTGTTTTGTTTAGATGTGTTTTATAAAAATACCCAGGGAGGAGTTTGGAGGCTCACGTGTGAAGAGTTATTTACTTTACACTGAATTGTAGTGAAATGAAAATCAAACTTAGGAATTTAGGAAAAAAGTTGCCTAATTGTGATAGAGTTGTGGGGGCCATTTATCACTAAAAAACTAAATTTGTGTGACTCAAATATAGTATCTAATTTCTTTTGTTGAATAAGGTTCATCTTGTCTCCAGTTCAGCATAACTCTACCTCAAAGTATAAAATCGTATTGTACATCAACATACTTTATCAGAAATGGGAGGAACATTTGTTTTTTTCTCTTTGTCCTCCACATCACTGCCGGAGTTTTGTGTTATCTCTGGGCTGCGCCTCACCTACAACATAGAAAGGAACAGTTTAAGGGATTACATTTATATTAAGCGGAATATAGCTCACATTCAGGAGTTAAAGAATATGCATGGTTCATGGTTTCTTTCACTAGACTATTGACTCTGCAGAGTGCATAGGTTTGCAGAGCCTCTATTAAAAGAAGCAAAATAGCAACCATGTATGTAAGGTTACCAATAAAGTGCAAATAAATAGACCTTTTGGATTGCTTATGGATTCAAGGAAGGAACCCCAGGGAACATAAAACTCAAAAAAACTTAGACTTATGTTCATTCACAAATGAATTAATTCACTTAACTGAATGATTCATAAAAAACAAATTTCCTTTTCAATTCTTTTTCTATAAAACTATTCATTTGGACAAAAAGCAGGGATTTGTAAACACAGGTCAAGAAGCAAGTAAAAGGTTTCATTCATTAAAAATTTATTGAAAGGTTTTTGTTTTAGACTAATCGATTCATTTATGGATGAATGCACAAGTGAAAAAAACAAAACAAAAAGTACATACAATCTCGATACCTCGATCTCACCAACATGAAGAGAAATAAATGAACAAGCAATTACTTGTAAGGTGGAAGGTCGAACACTTAAAATAACATCAATCCATCTTATTTGTTACCATTAAAAGAAAATATTACATAGTAAGGGTTATAATGAATCTGCTAAACAAATGTTTATAAAACTGAATGAATCAGATTATAAAGTCAACTTAATTTCAAAGTGACTGAATTTAATATTGTTTCACACTGATCCCAAAACATGAAGCTATTAAAGAAAAGCAGTAAATGTGACTATTTTCCAGTACCCCCACTAAATATGCATGTTATTAAATTTGAACATGTTGAATAAGAAATTATAGGGACGCTATATGCACTAAACAACTTTAGCTTAATAAAACAGTTTCCGTGTATAGACCATGCCCCTTCAGTCTCACTGCTCAATTCTCTGCCATTTAGGAGTTAAATGATTTTATTTATGCAGTCCTAGTCACACCTTCCTTCATGTGACCTGGACAGCCTTCCTAAACACTTCCTGTAAATACAGATCTAATGTTTACACTTCCTTTATTGCACAGTCTATTTATTTTATAATTTCTTATATCCTGCTCTGTTCACAGCGTTCTAGACCCTGCAGGAGCCTCCTGTGTGTGAGTAAAGTTCATTTTACAGAGCAAGGAATATACATTTCTAAAGCAAACCATTTTTTTCATGCAGACTTTGTGAGCCAGGTGTGCATAAACAGAAACAAAAGTAATTTCACTCCCAAAACAAGAGAAAATTGAGCAGTGAGACTGAGCAGGGGGAATGATCTATACACCAAAACGCCTTCATAAAACTAAAGTTGTTTTAATGCCTAGAGTGTCCCTTTCTTGTATGGCTATATCAGTGTGTTCTGCAAGCACTTACAGGCGAGTCATGGCTTTGGTGTTCTTGCTGGGCTGGACTCTCTTCCCCAGCACTCTCGTATAGGTTTGTAGGTTCGCTGCTGCTATTGCTCAGGCTGGCATTATCTGCAGTGCCATTCACGAGTGGCAGATTTAGATGGTTGCGCCAGCTCAGGTGATCACCAACGTGATTCTCTGTGTTTTCATCCTCCAATTCTTGAAGTTTCCCCTGGATCTACACATATGACATAAGAATCATCAGAAAATACCTGCTGAGGTTTTATCCACTGAGAGAACAGAAAGTTCTATTTTATAAGCAAACACCGAAAAAAATAGATTAGACCTTGCAGAAATCTCTTGGGAGCCAAGTGTGCAGTCTTTTGCAGTACAGAAAAAAGAAAAACATTTTGAGGCAAACATTTAGATTAGTATTAGTAACAGTAGAAGACCTAGAGGTTTTCCGTGTCTATTGACGTGTGTACAGAATCTGTTGTATACAACACCTTAAACAATGTATGGAATTGTAATGTACAATCAAAACAGAGTGAAGATTTCAAAATTAATGTGTGCAAGGACAGGTTGACAAATTATTCAAAGTATGTGGCTTAAAATTATACCTCCCCCCAAAAAAGCTTAAATGTAGGAACTAAATAAAAAATTAAAATAGAAGCAGTAAAAACCCGGAACTATAGGTAGCATTTCAACTGTTGGGAAGTCTGGTTATGACTTACTACATGTATCTCCAGCTGGGATTCCTGCAGTTCTTGTTCGAGGGGCTCCAGTCGCTCCTTCTCATTCTTTAGGTTCTCCTCTAGCTGTGCAGTCTCCTCTTGAAGACGGCTCAACTGATCTCTTGTCTTGATTAACTCATCCTCGTACGATGAAATCTGTGTCTCTTGGTTGTCGATCTCCATTTTCAGGGAGGCAATCTGCTCATTGACAACATAGATATCACAAGGTTTAAACCCACAAAAAGACAGAACTTTTGTTGATGCAGTGCACTATGACATGGCGGAAGAGAAAAGCTATGTGTCCAGATGAAATGTCAGTCAGAGGTGTCTTGTCTACCTGGACAATAAGGTCAGAACCACACTAGGTAATCTCTGCAAAGTTAATTGTAAAAAATAAAAAATAAATAATAAAACAAACTGTTCTGTATATGGTCAACGATGAATGTTCGCTGGAGGCTAGAGGTTTTGTGGAAGCCGCCCAATCTGAATATAGGCCCTACACATGCTCAGTATGCTCCTAGAACGGATGTGTGATGTCACCCATTCACTTACACTGGATCTATGTTAAAGGTAGCTCATGAAAAGGTAATTAACCCGCGCAGGAAACCCTTTTATACCTGACGGTTCTCCTCTTCACATTTCAGTCTTAGATCCTGGAGCTGTTGCTCGAGTTTTGCTTTCTGCTCATCCAATCCTTCCAGGACCTCTTGCACTTCCTGCTTGTGTGCCTGCAGTTTCTGCAAATTAGCGCTCTCTCGCTCCACTTCATCTTGTAGATCCTAAAAAGCAGAATAATTTCCTGTTAGAATCATGATTGCCTAAGGAGTTGAAAATCACAGCAGCAGCAGCACAAATGAATGGAAGGAACATCTAAATTGCCTGCGGATACAGTGTATCCAACATCAAACAAGATAACTTGTAACTCATGTTAAGAACCTACTTAAAGGGACAACGTAGGCGCCATAACAGCTTCATCATTGAAGTAATTTTAGTATCTGGAGTCCCCTGGTGCTGTCCTACCTTTCATCAATAACCATTTTATAATATTTTAATGCTAAACAAGAATGTCCAGCAGCCCATTGCTGCTTGGTCGAATAAAGCATTAGAGGGGACTGTGATTGGCAGACAATGTCAGCTGACTGTTTTCAGCCTTCCACTGCACCTATTGCTAGTATGAATTGGTATGGCTACCAGTAAGTGTTCAAACTATCTTAGCTACACCTCCAGGGAGGCCAGGGCTTTGGGAAGACAAGAACCATACCTTGTGTTAAACTGCTTAAAAATCGGCACATGGAGGGCAGAGCCAGACAATGAGAGCAGTAGATAAATTATAGTAGCCAAAGAATGTTAAAGCATTCGCCAAGTAACAATCACTACAGTTCAGTTTGTTATAACAGCTTAGTGTACTATTACAGGTAACTGGAGTGTCAATACAGCTTTATATATTATTACAATTAAGTGGCATATTATAAGTTTGTGTATTACTACAGTTAAAAGGCGTGTTTATGTTGCCATGAATCTCCATGCATTCTTCCCAGATGCTATGGCAACCCGTTCAGGAGAGGTTTGTCAAAATCTGGGGCTCTCCACAGCACCCGGAGACCTTTTCACCTACATTGATTACACAGAATTTAAATGCCCACACTATGAATGTCAATTTCACCCTACATGGACACAGCTGGTATTTGCAAAGCGTGCTGTTCTAACTCAAAGGTGTCAACCAATTCAGGTTGAACTAAATTGACATTGATAAGTGTTAATTTGTGAATTCTGCATTATCCATATGGTGGAGGAAGGGGCAATTTCGATCAAACCTCTACTAAACACTTTGACATAAATTCGACAGACAGTTCCCAGTGATTCTAGGCAGCATAATCAAGTACATTAAGCAATAATAATAATAATACACTGAGCAATAATAATAATAATAATAAATGGAGTAGAAGCGGTTATGTTACAAAGAATCAATATATCAAAGGGGGATGTTGCCAGAAAGAGAGGAAATAACATGTTGATAACCGTGAAAAATATGTTTTTTTTAAAAAGAATTGAGCCCTAAATGCTTATTGGAAGATAGTAATGTGAAGAAAAACAATTTCCTTAACTCAAGCTCCCTGTGCCAGATGGGTCTGGAAGATGTCTCACTGGAATTCGTGGCAGAGAAAGCGTTTAGGATTAGTCACCCATTAGCAACACATGCAAGGACTTCTCATTGAGCTGCATTGAGAAGTTTGTGATTGGACAGCTATAGAAAGTCTGGGCTGGGGAAAAGGGAAGGACTTGCAAAGTCAGAGATGTGATTTTTACATACACCTCTGACGAAAAAAATGTGTAATTAAATGTAGGCATGTTTTCTTTGGAGGTATAACTACTACATTGTTATTAAATAAAAGGTTATACTGTGCATGGCTGAAATTATTGGCGATGATGCTTTAACTTTAAGGGATTTTTTTTGTGATCGAGAAATAAATGTGGGTGATGTATACATGATCACTACGAAAATACTAATAACTTTATTCTCGGCTTTGCACAGGGTAACATGCAAAGACAGAGCAGAACACAAAAGCAAAATTGTATGTCACGCACAAAAAAATAAAATTAAATTTCATGAAGTTTTGTTAAATTCTAACATAAAGAAGAATTTCTTTGTACAGTCCAAGTATGTAATAGGCTTGACACCATTTACGTTAATATTCCTACACGGTGGAGAGGGTTCTCCATCTAAAGGCTCGGGAGAACCTTGAGAGTTCATCTCAGCTTTGAATGCCACCACCAGACAGTACAGTGAGCGTTTTACCTGGAAGGGACCAGAATCGGTCTCTGCTGAGGGCCCTGTACCAGGTCTGTATATTAGTAAGGCTGATTCTCACGCTGTCTGTCCAATATCTGCTGGAAACTGCAGAGTGGAGAGACTCTAAACCTAGTATCGACTAAACGACTACAGTTCTGGTATGGAAATAGCTTTATATTGCTAATGACGCGGATATTGTATCTGACGAGTATGTAATTATGTAGGCATAGCATAGTAGGGCCATATGTTGTGAACATATCCCCCTATTTTGTACAGGAGACTAGTGTTTTAAAAGGAGCTTGGGGTGGCTGGAAACCCCGTTATGCCCCAAAACTGTTCAAAAACGGTTTGAAAAAACGGGACACGTTACCCTAATACTTCACGTACCAAAACCACTACAAAATTAAACTTGTATATTTTCTGCACTGGCTGATTTTTTTCAAATTAATTTCCTATAAACATACATCATTCCAGCAGCTCCACTATTGAGCAAAGAATGTTCTATATTGTGCTTACCCAAACCCATTATGTACTGAACATTCAGTAACTTGATATAGATACAGAGATAGAGATATTTTTAGATGGATGGACTGTAGGTAGATAATGAAAGCCATTCGTACATAGACAGAAAGTATGAATGCCAATTTAAATCAAACATCCACCATGCACATTAGCCACAGTATATTAAAAATAAAGCATGCTGGGATATAAATATTCATGTGGCTCACACTGTGCAGCAGAGAAGCACAATTAAAAGGAAAGCACAGTTTTTAATTCTTACTGGCCCACCTTGGCCCTCCAACTGCTCTGACTTCCAAATGTCATCAAACCATAAAATGTCACGAGGGAGGATGGGATTTGCAGTCCCTCGGTCCTGCTTTAAGTTACTAGTGAGCGCACTAATCAGGCTAATGCTATATGGGCTGCACTAGTTTTAGATGGGAAAGTACACTAAAAGGTATATGGGTAAATATATATTTGCATCTGTTTGTTTCAATGTGTGTATCAGATCAGTGTATCAGTGTGTGTATGCGCCAGTTTTTTTTTTTTTTTAAGGTGTTCATACATGTGTCACTGTGTATGTCAATGTGTGTAAGTTTGTGTATCTGAGTGTATGTGCCAGTGTGCAACTGTGTGTTTTAATATGTTTATCTGTGTGTCAGTGTGTATCTGTGTGTCAAGGTGTTCATACATGTTTGGTGGTTCTGTGTGTGGAGAGGGGGGTCACAGCAATATAACTCACACTCATGCACATGTCATATTTCTGAATCACAGAGCTCCCACTGGAGGTGCAGACAGCATGAGTGTATCGCTGAACTCCCATTGAGGGGTACAGACATGCTGCTTCTCCCAGAGGACCACCAAGATTCCCCCTCACTGGCCCAAAGTAAGCCTGGGGGGGGCGGGGGGATGGAATGGGGGATAAGATTAAGATTAGGGTTTGTTTTTTGAAACAAAGCCAATACCCCACTACAACCCCTATCCTTCCTTTAGAGCCCCTGTACCCTGATATTGCCCCTTTCCCTCCCACTACAACCCTTATCCCCCACTATATTCACTGTCCCCCCACTACAACCCCTATCACCCCACTATTGTCCCAAAGCTATACATGTCTGTGTCAGTGTCCTCAGCGCGTAAAGGTATAGGAGTCAGTGTCCTCTGTATGCAACTGTAATGTGTATATTTTAATTTTGTTTTTACTTTTAAACTTCAGATTAATAGTTCATACACACCTCCTTACTTACACAGTATTCACATTATTTCATATTTAAACATATTCTTTACTACCTTTAATCAGGCTTGATCTCCAATATGGGATTAACTTAAATATTAGTTTCTACACGTTTCATTTGGAATTTAAATGAATACAAATTACCTTCTCAAGGAAGGGTTGCGTAGGAATTTTTTTTTAGACCTGATTGAGAATCAGTGATCTAGAAAACTAGATTACACCACTACCAGATAACAATCATCTCTTTGACAAGTCTTCTAGCACCAAGGGGTAGCCTTCCTCAAAAAATAAAGAAACAATATCAAAGATTTAAAGAAAAAAGTGCATTCTGACCAGCAGAATCAGTCTGTGTCACACATCAAGCACTACACACCCTTTTAATATTGCAGGCACTTCCAGAAACAATTGGAGACACTGTTCAATATTGAATGTTCACTTAACATACAGACTTAAGATATAAAGGCTGCGGGATTTAAAAAAAACAAAACAAAAAAAACAACAATTTATAACAATATATTTAAATCTATTTCAACCTTCCTCACCTCCCCCTCAGTGAATAAAACAGGCTATTCTCAATTGCACTTAATAGCTGATGAAATTGCCAAGGTTGGTGGCCTTTGTATTTCCTCACCTGAATCTCACCCGTCCTCTGTTTCACAGCTTCCTCCTTCTCGTTCAGCTCCTGTTCCACATTGCTCTTCTCCCTGGAAGACCAGCAAACCATACAAGAATATCTGAAGACATTCGTAACAGCAGGCATGTTAATCCAGCCCCCTAATCCAGAGTCCCACTTCAGGTACATTATAGAGACCCCCGAAAGTGGACAAGATCATATATTGCAGGCCCTGGAAATGCTAAAACCGATGCTTCATTGTGGAAAAGCGTTCAGAGACAGAATGAGGATTGCAGGAGGAGGGGACAAATAAATCAATGGATGTAATGTGTCTATGCTGAGATCACTGTTGCTAAGGGGGAATTCAGCAAATGCAAAATGCTGTGTTATTTGTGCTGGGAGGGGAGAACCACAAGCAGCGATGCTGTACACTTAACTCAGCCAAAGCTCAAACCTGCCATATTCAATTACAGACATCTAATAATGCCCTAAACCAGCACACATCTAAACCTCGCGGGCCCCTGGAGGAAAGTACAATTCTAAATACAGCTTTTATAATAGTTACTCTTTCTTAACAGATACATCTTCATTTGTCTTTATTACCCATTATCTTTTCCCAGAGATTTAGCTACAACACCAGGAATTAGTGAAAATCACCACGGGAGCTGCAATTTTTAGGCCAAATAAGCAAATTGGAAAAAATTCTATAACTGCAAATTTGCCGCCTGCTACGCTATTTTACACTAAAAATTGAATCTAGAATAGAACATGATTATACCAAATTGTATAAGTTGCATACGGGTCATATAGCTAAGCATTGCACCAGTTGACAAGTTAATTAAGGGTCACTCCATCCATATCCAATAACCACAGTTTACAGGCGCTATGCAGGTAAATTCTGAATCATATACTTACCCAGTGGCGTACACACAATCCACAGGGCCCCGGTGCGAAACTGATCCGTGAGCCCCCTACTCCCCCCCCCATCCCCATGATCCTCTATCTCCTGACCGTGGGCCCCCCCCCCGACACATACATACAGACACAAACACCCCCGACAGACACATACAGAGACACAGACACGCAGACACATACATACAGAGACACACAGACACACACATTCATACATACATACATACAGAGACAGACACACATACACACACATACAGAGACACACATACAGAGACACACATACAGAGACACACTCACATACATACAATCCCCCCCCAGACACATACACACACACACACACATACAGAGACACACAGACACATATACACACATACAAAATGTTTCCTACCTTTTGTGAATTTCCCTGGGGTCCAGTGGTGGCTCAGCCTGATGGGAGTCAGAGTTGACACTCTGACTCCCTCCTTCCTCCTGCGTGGGCTCTCTGTATGCTAGGAGGAGTGACCGGGGCAGTCACTTCCTCCCAGCAGTGATCTCGCTGTTAAAGCGCCAAGCGTTGACCGGACCCCCTGACAATCCATACTCATCGGGTGGCCGCATAACGTGGCAGCTGGTACCCGGTCGCAGGGGTCCGCAGGGCCCCTTGGAGTGACTGGCTCGGTTGCAGCTGCAACCGTGGTATGTACGCCACTGTACTTACCAGAATTTTCTTTTCCTGGCCATTTACATGGTAGCGTCACTAATGGGTTAAAGCCCCACTCAGTGATGGTGCATCGTTGGCCAGGAAATAAAATGGATATTAATTACCTGTGATTTAAATACCTGTGTGGTTTAATTAAACTGGAGGAGATTTGAGCAGAACTGACAGGAGAGAAAGCCAGCAATGACAGTATCTCCCACGTGTTCCTATTAAGGAGGAACAGTCCATATTTTGAGCTCTAATTCCTCTGTCATTTTCTATTCTAATGTCCCTCTTTGTAGCTCCATATTGGTTGGCGTATAACAGAGCTTCACAGTAATAATACAGTAATGTGTCTAAACTACAATAAATGTCTTCAGAAAGCAGTCTGTGTAAATCTGTGTTCTAAACAATTTATTATTAAAATTAATTTATGTTGTATGTTACATTCTAATTGCATGACTTGTTATTAGTAAGTCACCTAAAATTTCTCAGAACAGCCCTGCTCTTGGACACACTACTAAAATGAAAGTCTCTGTCTATATGACGCCCCCATTTCTAGGTTTTATGAAAAGCCCTCTTAAATCCTGTAATCATCATAATAATGGCTATATTTGACATCAAAACAATAAATGCAAGTCCATCATTTCTTCCTCAGCAAGGTCAGGCATGCAAACTTTAAAGTATTCATGCTGCGTTGTAGATGAACAATTTACTATATATCACACAATGCCAAAAAGATACAGAACCAGAAAAATTTGAGCAGTCAGGTTTCCTCTTGTATGCTAGATATGCACTGTATAGATTTGCAATGTATACTGGTGTTTTATAAACACAGCAAAACAATACTCCAACTGAGCAGAAGGCAAAAGAATTGCAGTAATATAGTGACCTTCATATGACCTACAGACCAATATTCCTGTCAGTGAGCTTGTTACAAGATCACCTTACTAGCACAGCAACATCAAATGGCATGTTATAAAATGAATAAAATGAAAAATAAACAAAACACTAATTACATTTATAGCCGTGTTAAAGGGGAATTTTTTTTTATTATTTTCTATTTTTTTTTTTTTTTTTAATGTATTTATTTTTTAAATCACCTGTTTTGGTTTGAGGTTTGCAATTCAATTATGGATCTTGGCGTTTTCCCCATCCAATATATGACAGGCTTTCTAAAGTCTAGATTTGTCAAGATTTCAATTCAAAACATAAGTATGAACAGAAGCTAAGCTGTACACTGCACATTCATATGTAAATAGAAAATTAAATATGAAGACTTTATGTTAACAGCTGATCTGCAGACAATGCAAGGGCCGATCTTCATAGTCCGTTGACAGCATCACCTAGATGGCAGCTTCCTGCAGACCCAAAGGGCCTAACTACAAGTCTGCATTTAAACACTATGCTGTCACATAGCCCGAACGAACATAGCAGCCTGGAATCCTAAAACACTCACCGATGATTAGCAGAACGCTGCGGGGACTTTAAACAGTCCCGAACTGCACGCAACATGATCGATGTTCATGATTTTTCTTCCCCCCACCTTTATAATGTGTATGCGCAAGATAAAGAGGTTGAAATGAAGTAAAAAAGAAAATAGGAAAATGAGAACGCAAAGCAGTGAAGGTCGATAAAAGGAGAAGAGATGAAGACAATCTTGGCTTCTTCGAAAGCTTTTAATCCTAGTGGGAGTTACAGTCTCAGAACAGAAAGACAATTACCCAAACCGTAAATACAAAAAAAATATAAAATAAAAACAAATTATGGAAGGTGTTTTCAGATTAGAATGGAAAACATCTATAACTAAAATTGCCATAATAGAATTCTATCATAAGAAATACATAGCAAGAGATGCAGGAACTAAAAACACCACAATAGATGTGCTGTAGCTAATGGCTACTTCACACCCCAAGGGGCCAAGTACGGAAATAGAATCTGCCTGTTAACCATTTATATTCCAGAAGGGTGAGATCTTTGCAAGCTGCACAGAATGGATACACTACCAGTTAACTTTCTCACTGCCTTTTCATAACGTAGGAAATTTGATACCAATTTTCCCTCTTCAGTGATTTACTCCTATTCCAGCAACATCCAGCAATAGGACTGATGCATATCAATAAAAGCAAAATATTTGGATTTGGTTTATAAGCTCAACAATAAACAACAACAAAAAAGAAAGGAGATGAAGCTCAAAGACCGCAAGGTAAACAAATTAAGTCTCTTTGAGCTCTCGTCACAGAGCTTACAATCTTACAGCTAGATATACTAGAGCCTGATGGGCTTTTTTTTTTGTGTCGCAGCAAGGTTACACAAAAATAGCTATTTCCTGGTTTTTGCCAAGGTGCAAGTGTTCCATTGGAAACCACTGTGCCATTTGGTATCCACTAAATGACGTGATTTCATTGGTTTCAACAAAGCCTTTTACTGGCATAAAATATGCTCCTTGTGAGATCAGACATTAGGCCTCACTGACCGATAATCTGGTCTCTCTGTAAAAATAAATATTTGTGGAAAGCAATATTAAATAGGATCTAGGAGATGCCCAGTTTCGATAAATAAAAGGCCGCCATAAGTGCCAACAAATACCCAGTCTCCCTAAATAAAATATATTATGGGCCAAAAGGGCCCCGAGAGAGAACCAACCCTGTAAGGGTTAATCCTGTTATTTAATGGGCTTCTGCTGGGCACCATTTAATTTTACTATCCACCCCCTGGGGTGTGGATGGAGAGGATAGGCCACTAACCTGCCTATCTTGGCATTTTATTTTTAATTACTTTTTTGTATTGGAGACACCTGATTGACTTTCACTGTGAGAGATGGTTTATAACTACAAATATTAAGTGTAGCTGTTTACAGGGATAACCAAAAGGCTTAACCCTGCTATATACCTGGCTTAGTGGTTTTGAGGCACTTACAATAGGGAAATAGATCTGCAGACTGAACTCTGTTACAGTTGGGAGCCACCATGCGATGCATGATGGTCAATACCGTGTGTCTTCAAAGAAGTGTAAATTAATTCAACAGAGGCTAGTCGCATGCTTAGTAAATTTAGCTGCTAATTTTAAAATTACAAACCTCAAACAAAATAAACAATAAAATTAAAAAAACAAAAACACCAAAAACAATGTGAATCTCTGATGTTTATTCACTAAATAGCAGATGGTAGCGATCTAAAAACTGAAGTTCTGACTATAGCCAATTCATTTTTATTTTTAAAACTCGCTTAGAGCAAAGCACTGACAAGAGATATTACAAAATAACACTCACAGATGCTATGATATAGGTAAACTTTTAAGTTCAATATATATTTCAAAAAAAAATAATAGTTTTAAGGAAGGAGATGTCAAATGCAAACACCTATTTATTACTCACTTTTGTAAATCCACTATCTCATTATTTAAATGGTCCAGTTCTTTGATAGCAGAGAAATCAGCAACAGGACTGGGAGCAGCTGGGACCTGTAAGGTAAGAAATTGGTCAGAACACAGTTTAATCTGTATGGCACTAACAAATTAATCAATGCAGCACAGTAAACATGATTAAATGGCATGGGTTGCACAAGAAACGAACACAGATGAGAAAGAAGTGGTGGAAAAAAAGGGAGAATAGCCTTGGTAAGAGAGGTGATCAGAAACCCAAAGGTCACTCTGGGTGAGCTCCATACACACGTGGAGACGGGAGGAACTTGCGCGGAAGAGCAACCATCCTGCGACACTCCAACAGTCTTTATAGCAAACTTGCCAGACAGAAACCTCTCTCACTATCAGATACATGAAAGCCCGCTTAGAATTTGCACACACACAAAAAAAAAAAGCACCTGAAGGACTCTCAGACTGTCTGATGATGTGGACATACCTGAAAATGGGCTGTCCACAGGCATCCGACCTGACAGCTTGAGAGGAGATAAATATCCAAAAAGACTTGAGGTGCTTCAACCAAATACTGTGGTGGTGGTGTTGTTGTTATATTTATATAGCGCCAACACATTCCGTAGCCCTTTACAATGGGTGGCCTATCAAACATGTAATTATTTCTGTGCGTCAAACTTGTCTGGTTACAGAGGAGTTCAGGGCCCTGCTCAGTGAGCTTACATTCTAGAGGGAGTGGGGTAAAGTGACACAAAAGGTAAGTGAAATTTTAGGGAAGCAGATTGGTAGAATAGTGTTTAGAGTCTAAATAGTTATACCAATGTAGTATTTCAGGTTGTTTTGTTTGTTTGTTTTGTTTAATTTTGCTTAATACATTTGCAATGGTGTCAAAAATCAGGTTTTTTTGCTTTGTCATTATAAAGAAAAAAATTTAAACAATTATAGCATGAAGCTGCAACAAAAACACTAAAAACAGAACTAAAACTATGAGAATACTTTTTTAAACGCACTGTTTATATTATATTATTATATTCCTACAGTGGAGAGTATAGTGGTAACTAAATAGATCAATAAATAGGGAATTTAAAATGTGAATTTTCTATGCAGTCTGTCAAATGCCCACTGATTTTCATAGGACATAAAGCTTCTCTGAAATTACCAATAAACATGGCAGGGTAAAAAGCACAAAAGGATACTGCAGACAGTTGACTTGGGTCAATTTAAGATGGAACCAAGTTGAAAAGTGTAAATTGTGAACGCATTAATTCTTGGACACTGGAGTCCAACTATTTATTGGAGAATGGACTATGCAGTGTCAAAAAAAAAAAAAAAAAAGTTGCAAGAGAACATGGAGAACGAACAACAGCTCTTCTAGCCTGCTCTTCGTGTGTCCCCACTCAGATCTCAAAGCTGGTTTTAGCTCATTTTGTGCCATTACAAAAGAACCAGGGCCATTTGCATGTCAGACTGATTCCACCTAAAATGGCGGAACACACCCAAAATGCAGGCAGGATCTCTGCACGAGAAATACAGCAACCCCAGACGATCGTTTCACCCTTGTTAGGCATTGTCAGTGAGGTATAGCGGATATCCCTCTAGGCACCGACAGTCACCGAACGGCAGTCTAATTTTGCTTTTGTCAGTTCTCGGTACTCTCTTGCAACTTTTTTTTGTGCTAAACTTTTGAAGTATGCAGTGTGATTTGGAGGTGTGGCAGGTAAATAAGGTAGATTGAGCAATGATGAAATATGACCGATATAATGAGAGCGTACAAGGGGTGTCAAAATACAGTACCACTGCTTCCTCTGTAATAGTGGTGGCTTTTAACACCTTAGCGATACAGACCACCATTTTATTTAACTTACAAAAGCATTTGCTAAACCCACTACAAAAGTGAACAGTAACTCAGCATAATCTTTGCACAGACACAACAAGCAAGGGGACGTAGCTAGTGGCCCATGTCTCTGTTCAAATCATGCAATAGGAATGTGGCCACCAAACAAAAAGCCAGGTGGGCCACTTAATCCCAAGGGAAATCCTACTTTGATCAACCCTATAAAAAATGTCACAAAGTTGCTTCTCTTGTGGCTCCAACCATGGCTCAAGCAGTAATTGGACAATAAATAGATTTCTAAAATTCTTTATTTTATTTATTTTTACCGGTATGGTTGGCAAAATGCCGGGGTCAGTCAGGTACACGGTCTTTATCTGCGCTAATGAGAGCAGCTGCAAAGTGTGGTTGCAGTTTGCGACTAACTGCAGATAGTCAGAGACCTGTACCAAACTGTGCAGTGAGATGTGTTGTGATACCAAGACTGAATATATGCACAAAATGTAAAACCCTCCAAACAATGAAAATTCACTGTAGTCAACAATAGCCCAGAGACCAATTGGACAGAGCTCCCCTCTATAAAATAATGCATTGACTCATTTTTAGGAAACACAGAGAATACAATTCACAACAGCTGACTGTGGGGGATGTTCTGGTTTGCCAAAAAAAAAAAGTGTCTGTCTATTTTAAAAATGTAACAAAGAAATGATGAGAGAAGAAGTTCATACAGTATTCATGTATTGACATAAAGCTAAAGGGACATTATAGGCACCAAAACAACTTTAGCCTAATGAAGCAGTTTTAGTGTATAGATCCAGCCCCCGCAGTCTCATTGCTCAATTCTCTGCCATTTAGGAGTTAAATAATTTTGTTCGTACAGCTCTAGCCGCACCTCCCATTGTTGTGTTTTGCACTGCCTTCCTAAACACTTGTAAAGAGAGAGCTAATGTTTAAACTTTCTTTATTACACAGGTTGTTTACATTAAAATAACTAATCTCCAGCTCTCTTAATAGCCTGCTAGAAAATGTTTTCAAACTGGCAGTATGATTCACAGGTGGGGAGGTTGAGTAGGGCTGTATAAACAAAGTGATTTAATTCCTAAATGGCAAAGAATTGATCAGTGAGACTGCAGGGGTTAAAGTAGTTTAAGTGTCCCTTTAAGAATGCTGTAGTATTGGCCATACTTAAAATTATATATATTTTTTCTTTCTTCATGCATGCATACATGTAGACACTATAATTTCATTCAAAGGATTCATTGTAACTACTGGAATTGAAATCTACAGGGGGAAAAAAGAACCTTTACATGTGCTAGTCAATGCATCAATAGTTCTGGCAATGTGTTAGGGAAACGAATAAAAATGCAAACCTGCAGTTGCCCTTATTAAACATAAATAGATGTAAAAAGCTGCATGACTCCATTCTTAATAACAGGCCATCTTTGGGATGATAGATGTCTATGGAAGCTCAAGCTGCAATTTACACAGCAAGCACTGGCAGAGAGATGACCCCTGGCGCCACTTAGTGGAAAGTATGTGAATAGAGATAATGGTAAAATATCATAAGGAAGGATGCACACATAAATAAATGTACGGGCAGATCACATAACAGTAACACAACTCACAAAACAAACCGTGTCAAACTATAGTCAGGTAGCTATGGGGTTGTTTGTATCAAATAGATAGCACCAGATTTATTATTTTTAAATAATTTAGTGACATGATTTTTTTTCCCCATCTAAAGAGTTTGTGAAAGGATCTGTTTTCCTTAGCCATTTCAAAGAATGCTTAAATGTATTGTCAAGTTAGAAAGGACCTGGAGCTTGCCATCACAAATCTTGGAAATAGTTCTACATTATAAATTGAATTGAATATCTGGCCTATTCCAGGGCAAAGAAGGAAGTAATGAACAATACTCTGTGAAACTCAAAAGCATATATACTCCATATAGATCACCATTTTGATCAAGGCTAAATACTCTAAGAGTGGGCCACTAGGTCTTTTAAATAGGTGATCTGATTGCCACTGGAGATGGGAACCTGAGCTGGCAAGTGCTGCCACTGGAGATGGGAACCTGAGCTGGCAAGTGCTGCCACTGGAGATGGGAACCTGAGCTGGCAAGTGCTGCCACTGGAGATGGAAACCTGACCTGGCACTGGCTGCCACTAGAGATGGTGACCTGACCTACCACTAGAGATGGTGACCTAACCTGGCACTGGCTGCCACCAGAGATGGTGACCTGACCTGGCACTGGCTGCCACCAGAGATGGTGACCTGACCTGGCACTGGCTGCCACCAGAGATGGTGATCTGACCTGGCACTGGCTGCCACCAGAGATGGTGATCTGACCTGGCACTGGCTGCCACCAGAGATGGTGATCTGACCTGGCACTGGCTGCCACCAGAGATGGTTATCTGACCTGGCACTGGCTGCCACCAGAGATGGTGATCTGACCTGGCACTGGCTGCCACCAGAGATGGTGATCTGACCTGGCACTGGCTGCCACCAGAGATGGTTATCTGACCTGGCACTGGCTGCCACCAGAGATGATGATCTGACCTGGCACTGGCTGCCACCAGAGATGATGATCTGACCTGGCACTGGCTGGCACCAGAGATGGTGACCTGACCTGGCACTGGCTGCCACCAGAGATGGTGACCTGACCTGGAATAAGCTGCCACTCTAATCACACCTTCACCCAACACAAGTAAGGTATCCTAGTAAGATGTAAATTTACCTTATTTCAAAGATAATAGATGTAGGTATTATGTATAGATTGTGTTCTATGAAGGAAGGTATACATCAGGCTTCCCCAAATTCCAGCCCTCCACTACTGCTGAACTACAACTCCCATGATTCTGTGAATGAAATAGATAGGCTGAGAATCATGGGAGTTTTAGTTCAGCAAAATGTGGAGGAGCTGAGTTTGGGGAAGCCTGGTATACACTATTACAGTTTAATTCCAATTTGAATATGAGGCTCCCAGTAACAGGAGAATGAAAACAATGTGGGACATTACACGGAACAGACATTTAACAATCACTCGTGGAAGAAATTGGGATATTTTTTGAAAACTGGATTCACGGCTATGATAAATGAGGTATGGTAAATAGCGTGTTGATCCAAAGAGAAATAGGACTGCAATTTTGGAGTTGAGAAGAAATATTTCCTCTTTTTGTGGAACTATCAAAAATTGTTTCAAATTGGGATTTTTTTTTTCTCTTGGATCAGCAGTAGAAACAGGGAAGTGTGAAAGGCTGAAGTCTTTAGTTCAACCAACATTACTACTTAACTATGTGAAATAAATGAGACCAAACAGGAGGACACAGAAAATGTCTAACCTTGTGAAGCCAGAACCAGGGAGATGAAAGTTAGCAATATAAGAGCGAGGCTGAAAGCAGAGTGAGGCAGATGGAAATAAATAATCCAGAAAGCTAGAACATAGCAAAAACAGCAAAAAAAAAACCAAAAAAAAAAACAGGACAGTATGTTAGTGCAGCAACAGAACAAAACAACATATTTACCCTCAGGCTGCCATTGAGATTAGTAAAATTGACAAGTTGTAGAAGCAAGAGAGTAAAATTAAAGATAAAAATACATTCTTAGAGGCAGCCAATAAACCTATCAACTGTGACCGTTCATTACAGCTTGAACAGAGCATCTGATACACAGCATTATTGCTTCATAAAATAGATGCATACTGGTTCTGGAAAGCCAATGACAAATGCAGTTAAAATGAACATTTTCATTATTTTATTATTTAAAATAGGTTTACATGTATTATAGCCTTTATGTTTATCTCATAATGTATAAATACAAACAAATAACTTTTCTCAGCGCTTACACTTGTTCTGCGAGATTAATCCATCTTTGGTCAGAGCACCATGTATATCTGACAGAACCATGCGCAATTTAAATAACTGGCGTCTGAATTTGTGAATGCAAACTAATAAGCTATTTCCTTTGAGTGTGAAAAATTGAGTAATACAGAGAAGCTCTAATACAAACTGGTGTTTATTTACTAAAAAAATGAAGTGTGGTAAACGGAAAACCACATTTGTTTTTTTCATTCCACACACACCATGGTTTAGTAAATGCCATAGTGGGCCTTATCACTAAATGCATAACATAAAAGGCTTATCAGCTTAGCAAAATTGTTCAAGGTTGTTTTTAAGCACTTTGTCACCGTCAATATTTTTCAAAGCATAGATAGCTCCGTTTAATATTGAGGTTTAGCAAGGGTGGTGTTAAACTATGTTTATGATTCATGCTATGCAAGCTAAAATTAATATCGTGATATTCTATGTACATATAGAGCCTTTAAAAATTATGTTCCTAACAGTGCTATTTACCTGAAACAAAAAATTATTCTACATCAATGATATGATTTTACAATCGCCTCAATATTAACTATAATAATTTAATATTTTTAAAAAATAAATAAAAATGCAGCAGATGTTAACAATTTGAAACAAAATTGGCAACAGATGAGATAATTCTATAGCTAGCCTCTGCACTTCTAGTTCCATAATATTGCTCTTTAGAACAGGTGCCCAAAATTGCACAGCATATTCAAGGTGTAGTCATACCATTACTTCACAAAGGGGCAAAATTATATTTTCACCCCGAAGATGAATGCCTCTTTTTAGATATGACACACACTCCACAGCATTCCAAAGCAATTACATGAGATATAATAAAAATTAGGGATTATGATTTTCGGGTAAAATGCAGTTCAAAATGCATCCATTTGCCACATATCTATGTCCCAGTAGCAGTCACCTGAAACTGATGCCCAAGGATTCTCAAAAATCATAAGCAATAAGACCTATGAAGTACAATGCATTTGTCATATTTTTTTGAATTCAATAAAACTGCTTGAATTAAATGGGTTACATTCTCACCGTAGCTGCAGCCAGTCTCTCAGATGGGGGGATCATTTCAGGAGTTAGAACATGAGGGGGGTCAACTCCCGTCACTAATTTATGACTGATGAAATGGAAGGCTAAAGCAAACTGCTCCTTAGTGAGTTTCCCGCAGTCTTTTGTGTCACACAGAGCCCTGCACAGAACCAAAAGGAAGCCATATTTATGTATTCAGATACACCACAAATACAAAAACGATGAACTGACAATTTTATCTTTAGTAAGCAATAACAATAAAAAAGGAACAAATAAATTTTGTCTTTGAGACCACAGAACTCATTGTATATAATAAATTATTTTTGTTTCCAGGACACTTTTTACCTCCAGATGTGTGGGACAGCTATGGGCACCAGGTTTGCACCCAGCTATGCCAATTTATGGCATTTTGGGAGTTACACTATATGGACCCAACAAGGAGCTGGGGATTAAATTTGGTGCTCTGTAAAAGGTATATAGATTATCTGATTTTTATATGGAAAGGTGGTAGAGATATCCTTATGGATTTTAAAATTATGTTAATTCCAGTGTTTGGGGGGTAGGACTCCCATAGGACTTATTTTTAACTATAGTAAAGTTCAGGTAGATATTTTAGATTTTACTATTTATATAGAAGATGATATAATTAAAACTAAAACCTTTTTTAAAATCGTTGAATGTAAATCGTTATATAGAAACCACAAGCTGTCACTATAGTCCTTAACTAGCAAACTGGCCAAATAATCAATCCATTTACGAAGGAACTGTACGAATATGGACACATTTGCTAACCAGGACTATAGAATCATGCAGGGTTTTAAAACTACAGGATATGAGAATGACCTTTTAAATAACGCAGTAAAGGGAGTACAGCAAATTGATAGGAAATCGTTATTAGACTATAAAACTACAAACAATAGCATTAATAAACAAAAAAGTTCAATATTCTAATTCCATATGGTTCAAATTATGATTTTGTCATTTTTTATGACATACTTTTTTTTTTCTCTCTCTCTCTCTCTCTCCATCTGCCTCAATAGCTTACACCTATACTGGTGATGGATTGTGGAAGATGACATAGGTGCTGGTATTTTTCTACTATATTTATCATAATTCATCTAAAGAATATTTTACTAGTGTTTTATCTATTTTTATGTGTTTTTTTAATGTGTTTTTGGATCATCTACTAAAGGTTCCTCTTTTTCCCATATTTAGTATTTATAACTATACTGAAGTTCATTTTTTTCTTTTGAGTATGTGTGGCAATAATATTGCGGTAAGGTATACAGTACCATTATAGGTATACCTATTTACTTTTTATTGTGTTTGGTGTAAGAGTCCAACAAAAAGTTGTGAAGCTGCCTGAATACATCCTATACCTTTTAGGACTATTTTTTAATTAAAGAAACACTATAGGGTTAAAAACACAATAAAAAGTTAGAGGTAATTGAGGTAAAAACACAATCTAGCCCCATTAGCCCCCCTAAATATAGTACCTTTATTGCAATCTGCTGGTGCTGGCTCTGCCCCGACCTGCCTGACATCAGAAGTGGTGATCAGAATCAAGCACAATGCTTTCCCATAGGAAAGCATTGGATTGGCTGAGATTGTCAAGGAGGCAGATCAGTGGCAGAGCCAGCACAAGCCAAAGACAGCTCTGGCCAATCAGCATCTCCTCATAGAGATGTATTGAATCAATTAATCTCTATGAGGAACTTCAGAGTCTCCATGCAGAGGTTGGAGACAATGAATGCCAGTCACACTGTGCAGCAATGCCACAGGAAGCACCTCTAGCAGCCATCTGAGGAGTGGCCAGTGAATGTATCCCTAAGCTTTAATGTAAACACTGCATTTTCTCTGAAAAGACAGTGTTTACTGCAAAAAGCCTGAAGGGAATGATTACACTCACCAGAACAAATGCAATAAGCTAGCGTAATTCTGGTGACTATCGTTTCCCTTTAAGTTTAGATTATTTTAGAAATATGGGTGGTTTGGAATTGTCTTTACATTTTTATGTCATCTATTTTTTAGCGCATTTACTGCGTTTGCATGATTTAGTATCAGTGCAACAATCACTCAAACATTATAAACCAGGCTCAAATTAGCTATGCCTAAATGTCACCACAACAAATCTCTTTAAAGTAAAAATGGGGACAGCATCACATAATTCTTAGCACATGGAAGCACACTAGGAGTTGCAAGACACCATCCACAAGTGTCTAGGAGCGCCATAATATTTGTAGGCTTTACAATGTTGCAAACACTAATAATTAAATAGATTTAACTTTTTAGATATACAACTTATCTAGCACAGTGTGCAAATAATACTAGTCACGTAGTACATGGTTTAAAAGTTAATCACTATGAAATTTCAGGACCAATGCATTACTTAAAGTGGTTGGCTGGTTGCAGATATTAAATCACGGTTTTAAAAAACTGCAGCTTAAAAACAGCATTCAGGGTGGTAGGGGGATCCATGCTATAATGATGGCATTATAAATTTAAGGTTCTTGAGTGATATTTGTATTTATTTAATTTGGTGTTTGGCACGCCACCAACACTGTTAGAAAATAAAACCCATGAGTTGATTATTATGTATACCAATGCTTGCACAAGTGGTATTTGTGGATTTAAAAAAAAAAAAAAAAAAATCAGTTTCCTGATACAGAGCTGTATGATAACACTAAACAAAAGAAAAGAAAATCTATTATAGAAAATGTAAAAAAATAAATCAAGGCATCTCATCAGACAATGTTTTTGTGCATGACACCCCAGTATTTAGGTAGCAATACGTGCACATTTAATTATAATGTATCTAATAACTATGCATGTAAAGTAGCCATCGGTAGAACGGCATATGTCACAAAACAAAATGGTCTAGATCAGATACAGTTAATCCAGTGGTTAGCCACAGAGATGCAATCATTCAGTATCTTTACATGAAATCTTGCGGTCTATTGGCAGGAATCAACGTTATTGTAGCAATTCTGTAAGTCAGCAATCTATTAAGAATTTGGTCACTTTGTCTGCAAAACTCTCAAATACTACTGTGTTTATAGGAAACTACTTCTATACCAAACCAAACACACTATTATCCTAAAGGACCCATTTCTTGTGTTTTTAACACCAATATAGATTTGATAAATTGCTGCTTAAGAGATTTACGAGGTTAATAGATGGCTATCAAAGATGGGGTGCATATCAAGAGAGTCTGCTTCATTTTTGGGGGATCTTCATCTAACTAGGATTCAGTTGCTTGCTTAGTTTCAGAAACTAAGGTATGACAGCCAATATATATGGAAGATGCCGCCTTCACTTCTCTACAGTACAGATTTACTGCAGAGAAGTGAAGAGTGCTGAAACTAATTAAAGTCAAGATTAAAGAGAAGAAAAAAAAGTGAAAAAAATAAAAGATGCCCTTTAACCCCATAAGGACACATGACATGTGTGACATGTCATGATTCCCTTTTATTCCAGAAGTTTGGTCCTTAAGGGGTTAATTAAAGGATAATGAACATTTCAAGTTTTAAAAGGAAATGAATTCTGTATTAAATGAAGTTTATGTGGGGGGGCGTGTCTGACCATACAACCGTGCAGACGTGTTTTAGTGGAGCTCCGCATCCATCCCGAGATTAACCCGTTATACTACCGACTTAACAGCCAGTGGAAGCCTCCAAATCACACCCACAGGAATACACACACTGATACAAAAGGACAGACACACACATACTGAAACAGACAAACATATATACACACATACAGACTGACAGACAGACAACAGACATGCATACAGACAGAAAGACAGGCATACAGACATGCATGCATACATACATACATATAGACTGACAGAGACAACAGACATGCATACAGACATGCATGCAGACAGACAGACAGACAGACAGACAGACAGACAGACAGACAGACAGACAGACAGACAGACAGGCATACAGACATGCATGCATACATACATACATACAGACAGACAACAGACATGCATACATACATACAAACTGACAGACAGACAACAGACATGCATACAGACTGACAGACAGACAGACATGCATGCATACATACATACGTAATTTTTCAGCCACCCTCCTGTTTACCTTTTCGTTGCAGGAGGGTGGCTGGGGCTGATGGGAGTCGGCAGGCTCTACCTCTTCACTGCCTCCATCCCGCGCGGAGTGAGCTGGGAGGAAGTGATTGGCAGTCCGTTCCTCCCAGCAGTACTTGCGGTGCGGCTGGCAATTTTAAAGGTGCTCGGTCGCGCTACTACACGGCCGCAGCGCTCACCGGGCCCCTGAAGATACAGGGCCCATCTGGTGGCCCTAAATGCTTGGGCCACCTCATGTGCCCCATAGGCATGTGGGGCCCGGTGCAGGTGCACCGGCGGCAGTTCCACCGCTACTGTGGAAAGCAGACCTCCAGTAGACACAACAGGAGGTAGGCGTTCTCCTACAGAAGCTCAGAGGAGAGGGAACAAGCACAAGCCGCTCGAATAAAAAACACTGAGACCCACCTGGAGACCCTTACCCGGTGGTCTCGATGAAAGCCTGGCATAGGCGTTGCAACATCCGCCTGAGAGGCATACCAGAAGAGGTAACTGGGGAAGCACTACTCCCAAAAGCTGATAGCCTCCATGGGCCTAAAGGGAGGATTGGACCCATCCATGATACTTACCGCCTTCCGTGTACGCAAAGCTGTTGCAGCCCCCAGAGATACAATCATTGCCACCAGAGACATCATAGTGGGAACAGCAATTATGGTTCATTCCAGAATACTGAGAGACAAAGTTTGAGGGAATGTCTGTGTCACTCTTCAGTGACATCCTGTTTGCTACACTAGTGGAGAAGCATAAACTGGCTCCAGTGGCCAAGACGCTGAGGGACCACTCGTTCCGTTACCGATGGGAAGCAGACGGTGTCTTGCAAATCCAACTAGGAGACAAGATTATTACATTCCCCTCGGACGAAGATCCTGAGACGGTAATGCAGAGTCTAAAATTTAAAGTCTAACATGCAGAAGTAGAAACATCAAGGAGAACCCAAGATGAGATGCACAAAGACCCAAGGGAAGGCACTTTGCTGACCCGAAACAAGCCAACTAAGAACACACTCTAGATTCAGATGGTGAGGGAGGCTTGCTAGACTGCTCCTACATGCCTGCTTATTACAAGTGACTAGTTCTGCTGTGGCCTAACGAATGACTTACCGGTGTCCATAAGTCTCTCAGACAGGTTATAGGGGAATTATAAGCAGATATTCTTTACAAGATTAATGTTTCAGCACTTATAGTTTATCGTATGTAATAGTCATTATACTTTATCCTTTTTTCCTTTCATACATTGATGAGGATGTATACATTTGTATGCAAAACGCAATAAAATACAATAAAATAAAAAATAAAAATTGAATTTATGTGTAAGAAAAAAAGAAAAGAAAATCTCATCCCTACCTTTAGTACATTACAGGATCATTCAGCCATATACGTACACCTTGGGCCAGACAGTGTTTGAAAACCTTTATATACTCTCTATGGTCTTCCTGGCTTCACTCCCCGCACAGTGACATCATCAGACCCAATAACGGTCATATTTAAACCCTGTCTGACCCGAGGTGTACGTATATGGCTGAAAGATCCTGTCATATAGTAAAGTTAGGGCGAGTTTCTCTCACTTTTTTTTTTTTTACACAAATACTTCATTTAACAATCATTTCCTTTAAAAACTTAATGAAAGAATCATTATATTAAGATGTTGTTGACGTCACTGTTCTCCTTTAGAGAATTTTTACAGCAGTCTCCGTTAAGCATTTGACTTTTAAGCCCAGTCATTGACAGCTGAGATTATGGTCATTTTCTTGAGTAATGAGTATTGAAATTCATTGTAAAATATTAGTGGACATCTATCTTGCAAGATCTGCCATAAAGTCTTGTTTTGACGTCTGCAAACGTAAAAATAGTATTGGCTAATCTCATAATTTTATGGAACATTCTGATTTCTACATCATAAAAAAGTATAAACCAGTGACTTTTTGTAAAACAATATTTGGCATATACAGTCACCATGAAACAAATAAGGCAACTTACCAGATATGGGCAAGTAATCCTGAAGGCAAACCTGTTTTCAGGAAGATCTCTCGCACTTCCACTCCAGAAACCAAGCCATCCATATCTTTGTCTAGTTTTTGGAAAATGTCGTCATATTTAGTTTTTTCGGTGTTTGACACAACCCACTAAACGTAAAAAGATCATAGGAAATCATTAGATGTAATCTGCTGTAAAATTTTGAAACATTTCTTCATGACTTGGCCATTTGAAGGCAATACATTTCAAAAAAGGATACAAATTATTAAAGCAACACTTTATTGCAATTGCCATAAAGTGATGCCACCCAAGTGGAAGTGGATGCATCCAATGTCTGCATGCATTTTGCTAAATGTTTTAATTCATTTTACATTTCCAGCAATTCTTAGTTATGGAATAACACTGTCAGAGTTTTGAAAATGATAAAGCTAAACACAACGAGTGAACTATAATCACAGTACACTCTAAAACAGGCAGCTACAAATATTATTTAATTGTACTCTACCTGCGCCGCTGGGGCTTTAGTTGGCAGGATTCCAACTGGTGGCAACGAGTGACGCGGCTCTTTGGAAGGTGGCATCGGAAGTGGAGGAATGATTGGAGGTGATGCTGCAGATTGAATTGGTTTTCTCTTCGATGGGGGCACCAGAGCTGGAGGCAAGGACATGGGAACCGGCTCCTTTTCAAGGGCAGAGTAAACCAAAAACATTGCCTAAAAAAAAAAAAAAAAAAAAAAAAAAAAAAAAAAATATATATAAAAATATGATATAAAATATTTGTGTATATATATATATATGTATATATATATATATATGTGTATATATATATATATATATATATATATATATATATATATATATATATATATATATATATATATATATATATATATATATATATATATATACACACATATACATACACACACACACACAATTTTAGTTTATGATATATGGAGGTTTAGTCATTTTACCACTGTCAAAAAAACAAACAAACAAAAAAAAACAAAAAACAGTGGAGCCCTATATACCTTTAAAGTGCAACAAATATGTGCTTAGTGCAATACATCAATTAAAACACTTAACAGAAATGGTGAACAAATGTGTAAAACTTTAATGTATGGGGAAAAGCAAGTCTTATGGCTTGACTGGTGTGCAGATTTTTGTTTAGCATTGTGTTAACTACATATATATATATATATATATATATATATATATATATATATATATATATATATATATATATATATATATATATATATATATATATATATATATAAGAAAATAAATTCTTATATGGCACATTGACATGGTCAAGAGCTAATCAACCTAGCTCTGTTGTGTATAGCCTTTAGGTCAGTTCTTTGGGTGACATTTCCCTCTCTGTAGGAGAAGGGAACAGAGGCCTTAACCTGGAAGGCTGGTTGCATTGTGTTCCAGGCCTTGTTTCCGGGTTAGGTCGCGTCGGGTCATGTCAGGTTTTCGGTAATATCATTGAGTTCCTGCACTTATTACAGACCTAAAAGGCTATACACAACAGAGCTAGGTTCATTAGCTTTGGACCATGTGAATGTTCCATATAAGAAACCTTTTTCTAATATATATACTAAGGTATATTTCCTTTTTAAAGAAAGGTCACAGATGGCGATTTATGACAGTTAAGTGTTGTAATTGACGTATTGCACTAAGCACATATTTGCAAATTTGTTGCACTATAAAGGGTATATAGAGGCTCCAGTGTTTTTATTGAGATTTAACATTTGTGTATTTTTGGAGGTTTACAAATTCAGTGTGGTAGCAGCTACAAATCTAAGAATATTTTATTCTATAATGGTTTTATTTTTGAATACAGGTTAACACCACCTTTTTTGTACATTTTACCACTATGGCCTACAAAATTATTTTTACCCCTAAACAAAGCCCAAGCTTCAAAATGCTATAAATGTGAAAATAAGATGTTCAAGGCAACTGTAACAAATCAATATATTTTTCAAAAATTCAGAAAAACCAGTGCCAAATGTTTTTTTCTCTGTTTACAGGCACAGTCAAAGCACTATAACCACTGCAACTCTGTGCTTGCATATTATCCAAGGTCCAATCCTCGAGTATGGTGATTGGCTGAGGCACTGTTTTTGGCTTAGCCAGAGTAGCAATACAATTACTGGAAAAGTAGCGACACAAAAGACAAACATAAAAAAAGTTTGCAATATAAAATGAAAGGGAGGTGTACACTATGCGTTAAAAAGCAAATAAACAAAAACATAGAATGTATACTTCGAAACAGAATACCTACAGACAACTCATCTACACATAGGCTGCTATACAATGATGATACTGTAGCAATTTAATTTGCAAACTCAGTAGGATTAACATTTACTTACAACTGCAAACTCATCGCGGTCCAATAATCCATCACGGTCGATGTCACTTAACTCCCAGACCTGGACAGAATATCATGTTAGATTTGTTTCTAAAAAAGTGTCAACATAAAATTAAAGGACCACTATAGGCACCCAGACCACTTCAGCTTAATGAAGTGGTCTGGGTGCCAGGTTCAGATAGGATTAACCCCCTTTTTTTTCTAATAAACATAGCAGTTTCAGAGAAACTGCTATGTTTACACTGAGAGTTAATCCAGCCTCTAAAGCCTCTAGTGGCTGTCTCATTGACAGCTGCTAGAAGCGCTTGCGTGCTTCTCACTGTGAAAATCACAGTGAGAAGACACCAGCGTCCATAGGAAAGCATTATGAATGCTTTCCTATGAGACTGGCTGAATGCGCGCGTGGCTCCTGCTGCGCTTGCGCATTCAGCCGATGACGTCGCTAGGAAGAAGGAGAGGAAGAGGAAAGCTCCCTGCCTGGCGCTGGAGAAAGGTAAGTGTTTAACCCCTTCCTCTACCCAGAGCCCGGCGGGAGGGGGACCCTGAGGGTGGGGGCACCCTCTGGGCACTATAGTGGTCCTTTAAATGGCTTTTTTCATGACCATGCACTAACTGTACATTAATATACAAATAATTACACATACCAATAAATTGATTAGTCAATATATCTAAGTATAAATAGATCACATTTTTCAAAGGACACTTATGTAAAATATGTATTGCAAAGTTTTAGGATGTGTTGCTTAGAAGCACCCCGTATTAAAGGTGATCCCATAACAGTGACTATGGGCACCCAAGTATATTTTCGGAGGGTCGAAACCATTATATATAGAGTCACTGTCTTTAAATGTAAGAAAGGGCAATTTCAATTATTTACTTAATTGAAAAATCAAAGTGAATTTCACATTTAATATGAAAGTAGCTGAACCTGAATAGTATATATTTGCACAGCTCCTTATCTGGGTCCTAGAAATATCTTCGGTCTGCTTGGGCAAATGGTACCTGTATTATTCATGGGTCTTGATAATAACAGTTTTACACACCGTAACAGCCTACCCTCGCACCTCATTATCTGAACAATTGTAACAAAGTCCGTTCTGCATCTATCACACTAAAGGATAAACCAGTCTGAGTGCTCTAATCACCGCTCTAATCAACCACCACGTGACTTTATACTTTAAAAAATAAATAAAAAATATCTACTTTTTGAGTGTTAAGGATTTGGTTACAGGCGAGGTGGTGGCAGAAAATCTACAGCCAGACAGGGTAACACTAATACAATGCTTACCCGTCCCAGGACCTCAACAGACAGTTTGGAGTTGAGTAGCACAGGTTTGACCTTGTCTCCAGACAGGAACCCATTGGCAGGGATTAAACTGTCAAAGATTGCATCATATTTGGATTTTTCTTCCACCTGTTGCATTACACCAAAATAAATAAATAAAAAATTTAGTTCCACGCTCTCTTGCTATAGAAACCCTCTCAAAAAATAAAATATATATATATATATATATAAAAAAAACTTTTAGAATGCTTTTAACAACATATTTTTCCCCAGCCAAAAGCTATGGCTATGCAATGAAAAAATGCTGATACTTATAACTCTTTAGTAACTGTCAAATATGTCTATCTAACCCTTGTCGGTTCCAATATATCATCCAAGTGGCAGGAGTGATTTAAGATGGCAATATGAAAGCTTCCAATAGGGAAATGTTCCTACAAGACACAGAATTTCAAATAAAAACCCTATGTAATTTAAGTCCACTTTTGGTTGGACATTTATTTAAAGAAATGAATGTCCTAGATTTTACTTCTTATTGTATAATATGAACAAATTTGAATACTTATTTATTTGTAAAGCAGCCTTTGAATTATTCAGTTACCATTAGTGTAAGTCACAAATCTAGAACTTGTTGACATTACACAGAGAATAAAACCCCATCTATTTATTGTCCAAGCCACAAATTACTAGCAAATCATTTCAGAAAAAAAGGGCCCCTCCGACATGTACATTTCTGATCCATACATTTGTTGGTGATTTTATAAGCACAATGCACAGATTAAATATATTCACATAGTCAAGGGACCGTCTTTAAAATGTAATAAATGAAATAAGTAACATATGTTAATAAGTACACAATGTAACAGCTAATAAAAACGTAACAGCTAATATTAAAGGGACACTGTAGTCGCCACAACAACTTAACGAAGCAGTTTAGGTGTATAGATTGTACTCCTACAGTCTCAATGCTCAAGTCTCTGCCATTTATAGCAGTTAAATCACTTTTGTTTCTGTTTATGCAGCCCTAGTCACACCTCCCCTGGCTGTGATTGACACAGCATGCATTGAAAAAAAAAAATTGTTTCACTTTCAATCAGAAAAAGTTACTTACTTTAAAAGTTTTTACCTTTGCTTTATAAATTGAACTTTAAATCACATATAAGAGGCTCCTGCAGAGTCTAGCACGCTATTAACAGAGCAGGAGTTAAGAAATTCTAAATGAAACCGAATTTGCATTAAAGAAAGTGTAAATATTAGATTACTTTACAGGAGGTGCTTAGGAAGGCTGTGCAAGTCACATGCAGGGAGGTGTGACTCGGGTGCATAAACAAAGTGATCTAACTCCTAAATTGCAGAGAATTGAACAGAGAGACTGCAGGGGCATGATCTATACCCCAAACTGCTTCATTATGCTAGAGTTGTTTTTGTAACTATAGTGTTCCTTTAATATTTCTATTTCATTTGAAAATATCCCTTTATTGGGTCTTTTTATGGATTTATTTTACTCATCTGCATCACAACAGAAACTCTCCACAACCTGGCATCTGATTTCCAATATCCTATGAAATCCTGCAAAAGTCTTTTAAAACTTGCATATGCATACATAGAAACATAGAATGTGACGGCAGATAAGAACCATTCGGCCCATCTAGTCTGCCCAATTTTCTAAATACTTTCATTAGTCCCTAGTCTTATCTTATAGTTAGGATAGCCTTACGCCTATCCCACGCATGCTTAAACTCCTTTACTGTGTTAACCTCTACCACTTCAGCTGGAAGGCTATTCCATGCATCCACTACCCTCAACACATGAGATCATGGAAGCATCCACTAAACTCAAAATTATTTTCTTTTAAAGAATAAGGAAATGTTTTTCCTTTAATATCGGATACTTGGTTTAATCTCTGAAACATACAACAGACAAGGTTGTCTATTCTGGTAAGGGAAAAGGCAAAACATCCCTGAACATCTAGTTAGACAGAATAATTCTACAATATCGGGGGTGTCATGCTGAAGAACTCGAGGCTCTATCTGATTCAATACAGGAGATTTAATCCAGAGATATTTAGGACACCAAGCAGCAAACAGTGCAATCTGCTATTTACCACATGAGTTACATGATAAATCTAACAAAGACATTATCACATCAGTCATTAGCTTTGCTGAATGGATGAAGACTCACCTTAACAGACCATGGAACGTCTGCAGAAACCGCAGGTCCTACCAGCAACGGGCTTTCATTATCATGCTAAAATAAAAACAAACATGCAGTAATTGATCTTGTTAATCCTTCTAGATGCTAAGGGACATTATTATAAAATTGTCAAAGATTTATACACCAGCATAACATGCAGGGTCTCATGGTAAGAAATTGGATGGTTTGGACCTCACATTGTAGAAGCCCACAGGCGTATTTCTAGTCCAGTATAAGCCAAGAAAGGGAGGCTCCAAGAGAAAGAGGAGTAAAACTATATTCTCTTACAAATTTGGGCGGAGGCACCACTGCTTTAAGACTACTGAGGGACACTTCCATTCCATTCTGAGCACAGGCCACAAGCTGCAGGGCCGCAAAAAATTCCTAAAAAAATAAATAAAAATTATTGGTTCATTGGTTAAAGAAAATGCAATTGATACATTACCAACATCTACTTAAAAATGTGTATATTATCCTAAATATTGTTAGGCAGCTTGTGATACTTTCTGCTTTTTCCAATTTTAAAATTGCTACTAAGATACTTGCCGAGTATCAGTGGGCTATGGTCAGTTGATCATGGTAAGCTGGTTACATATCTGGGATTTGGAAGCACTGAGAGAGAATTACAACCCTTGTGATTGTGTCCTGTCCTTCCCAGACAGCAACATCGCTTGAGGTGTTGGAATCTAGACTAAGTGTGTTCTGTGGGCAGGAGAAACGGCTGACCTCCCGGCCTGGAGAGGGTTGCCTGTTTAGTATCCTGTTGTGCCTTGTCTGCCCCTCATGTTTATATTTTGGCTTGGGCCTGGAGAGGTGGTGTTTGGGGACACTATTTTGCTGAACTCAGCTGTATATTTTTATTGTAGTATCTCTACAAGCTTCAGGATCAGATGATATTAAGCTTTCTTGCCTAGTCATCTTGACAAGATTACAGTCCATATATCCCGAGTTTGCATGATTCTGTGCATGTTTCATTTGTTTGTTTTTAGGCTTGTCTAACTTGGTGGTTTACAGCAGGAAGAATGAATATATCGGAGACCAGACATTTTATTTTCCTTTCTTATGTAGTTAAAGGATCACTATAGGGTCAGATACACAAACATGTATTTCTGACCCTATAGTGAAAACCCACCATTTAGGTGGCTTTCCCCCCTCCATATACATTAATGCATTAAAGGTTATTCATTAAAACGTTAATTGTTGTTAATTCAAAGTGATTTTTTATTTATTTTTAATGCAGCTACTGTGGCCTATAATTTGAAATTCACTTTAAGTAGCTAGCAACTCAAGCTTTAGTTAAAGGGACACTATATTCACCTGAACAACTACAGCTTAATGTAGTTGTTCAGGTGAGATCTATAGCTCCCTGCAGGCAATCTAATGTAAACCCTGTATTTTCAGAGAAAATACAGGGTTTACAACCCTGTATTTTCAGAGAAAATACAGGGTTTACATTGATTGATAGGAATACCTGTGGTGGCCATCACTCAGACAGCTACCAGAGGGACTTCCTATCATGTATGGCCCTAAAAAGGCCATGTACACGTCAGACGTAGTAAAATACATCTGACGTGTGCAGGAGAGAGAAGGCACTGTGTGCGCGCCTTCTCTCTCCTGCCTGTCAGCAGAGGAGAGGGGGCAGGCAAAGACCATGAGCTGAGCTGTCAGTCAGTTCAGCATGTGACCGCGCACACCGCTCGCATCTGCGGTAGTGAGCTCAGGACTTCATAGGGTGGCATGAATGCCGCCCTATGAAGTATGTGCGCATGTGCAGCGAAGCCACGTATGCGCACACGGGAGCAATGAGGCTTCCAAATGGAAGCGTCTGATTGCTCCCCCCCGCCTATTTTGTCATTTTGACGAAATAGGGGGCGTGCCTTCACGAGGCCACCGGCGCTGGAACCAGGTAAATAAAATCGTCTGCCTGGAGAGTCCCTTTAATAACATTTCGTTTCAAATCTCATGCTTTTTCGTTAAACCTAATCTTGAGCATGAGCACTACTGCACTAGGTTTAAAGAGACTATTGAAAGAACTTCAATAATAACTAATAAGTTATAATTTTAAATAATAAACCTAAATATATTTTACATACAGACATAGAATTGAGCAGTAAGATTGCAGCATCTATTGGCTTTATTATTATTATTGCCATTTATATAGCGCCAACAGATTCCGTAGCGCTTACAGATTCATTAAGCTTAAGTTGTTTTCGTGGTTAGAGTATCGCTTTAAAAATTAAAAAGGATGCAAAATTATTTGGAAGCTAAAAAAACGTTTCAGTTTAGCCTTAAAAAGCTTTTGTAAGAGTGGAAAATTGACCCTACCTTGCATTAGCAACTTAATAAAACAAAAGCCAGATTCTTATAGAGAATTTTATCAGGATAAAAACAATTTACTTCTGTTTTAATGACATGCAGGAATTATGAGCAAAAAAGGGAGGCTGTATTTACACAAAATGATCAGATACCTAAAGATCCACTGGAAATGATCCCCATCACTGATCTTTAGTTAATGGAGTCCAACCTCAAAGAAGTGCCAAGCACTGACTTACTGCGTGATTTTACGCATGTTCTGTTAAACTAGTCAGCACCATGCATTACACTTAGCCTTATTCCAGTAAATGAGTCACTTCTCTTGCCTAATCAATTTCTTGCTATCCCTGAACAGCACTTGAGAAGGATTTCACTGTAAAATAAATCATTTTACCTGCTTGTTTAGATATCCTTTGCTCTCCTTATCAGCCAAATCCCAAATCTGTGCAGAAAGACAAAACGTGTTAGGGTCAGTTCCTGGAACACGAAATTCCTACAGGAAACTAAAAATGTCCAGAGCAGCTTTCCATGCACACAGCAATTTGTGATACAAGGTACTCATAATGCAAACAACATGTTTAACTAAGCGGTAACATCTACTGTGGTGCCGACAATAACATAAGGCAATCAATGACCTAGTATAATTCCCCAAATCAACAAAATGTTGCTCAAAAAATGTATATATGCATAGATACACATGAGAGAGCAGAGGCTTTCAATCTATATAGTTTGGGTGCTAATTGCAGTGCAAATAGAAACAAATCGAAGAGGTAGAGAGTTACAAAGATTTTATTTGGGAAGAATAATGCTGTCTAATTTTCAGTTAAATAGATGTCTCACTTATGGACATTTTTGAGTGGGAAGGAGAATAAATGTTTTTCTTTTAAATACAATTTTGATGATTGCTAAACAGTCCGCTAATGTTACAGTGAATAAGCAAAAAAAAAAAAAAAGTCATATTAATGACATGTAATTTTGGTACTCACGTAAATAATGCATATTTTGAGCATTGCATTTCAATTAACTTTAGCATGAAATTGTAATAACTTCTTCATCCCTTCTAATTCATCCCAAGAGCAAAATATTGCGAGGCAGATTCGAGAGAGGATACAGCGCAAGATGAATACACATGGAATACACGTTTAAAACCTATGCTAGATCTTTAACTAAATGGAGTATAGATTTTCTTGTTACAGTAACTGGTAAGTAGATACAATCATGTGCAGATTGTTATATATGAGATTTAATTTCAGCACGTGTATGCAGAGCACAAGCCGCACAGGCATTACACCTTCCCCATAGGAAAGTACTGAATCGATGCTTTCTTATGGGGATATAAAGATGCCGGAAACTAAGTGCAGGAAACGCCTCTAGTGGTTGTCAGAAGAACAACCACTAAAGGTTGTCTTAACCCTGTAATGTAAACATTGCAGTTCCTCTGAAGGGCTAAGAGTGCAGGGACACTGCACCAAGACCACTTCAATGAGATTAAATGGTCTGGGTACCTATAGTGTCTCTGTAATGCATGCAAATATCTAGAAACCAAGTGCCTTTCTGAATGTCTTACTGAAAAGTCCCAATATGGTGAAACAGAAGTATGTGGCTGGACATATAATTCACAGAGATCCTAGCACTTGCTTTGGTTGAAAAAATAAATAAAAATTTAATGTTTAAAAGGAACACTCCGGTACAACTTTATCGCAATAAACTTGTTGCAAGGAGGTCCCAGGGAACAGCATACCTCAAAGGAGTTAAATAGTTGATGAATGTTTCTTACTCTGTTTTGTGAATAAAGAGCTAGTAATTAGCTGAGAGCATCATCTGATGCTCTTAGCCTGACAGTAGCACCAAGTCTGAGGCTTCCCGTTTTAAGCCTCAAATAAAGAAAAGGAATTGCCAGGGAGAGCCACCAGACTGAAGATTTTGGTGTTAAACTGCTCGTTAACGATTTAACCTCATCATACCATAACAAATTTATTGCTATGACGTGCACATGGTGTCTAGAGTGTTCCTTTAAAAAATGAGTCTATTAGCAGAAGCAAGATGTTCCATGAATTCTTATTGGCATTCAGGGAACTCTTTCAAAATAAATTATTTCTAAGCCGCGGTGCATTTCATCAGCACTTTTGATTTATTTTTTAATGAACAAAAAGTCTAGCATTGCACACCTCTCAATGAGTCGTTGCACAGGAGTTTACAGGAAACTTACAGATATTATTTTCCTGCTAGCTCAACCAGCACTTCCTCTAAGGTTTGAGTTACAAGGAGTAAATGAGTCTGTTAGATACTTTATGGTAGATTTGGTGCCAACAGTCAAAGAGAAGAGAGTTCTTGGAGCAATATCAATAGGACTTTATAAATACCAGTAATAAATAAATAAAATAAAACCATTATCCAAATAGAGTTTCACCCCAGTTGGTGATTCAGATGTAGTTGATAGGAGCTATTTATTGGTCACCAGTCTCAAATGTTTAGATGTTCTCCCTCTGCCCATTGAATTTAATTTATTGTGTTTCACTATGGAGCAGAGGTTATTTTTCTCAGACTGCTACTCAGACTCTGTAGTTTGGTAAATTCTCAAAGGGTCATTACATGGCTGCCACAGGGTTAAAAATATAAAAAATAAATAAACTAAAGTGCCTACATGGCGAGAAGTTTGCTCTTAATATAAATGCTACATTTAGAAACAAGAAGGACAGAACAGTGAATGTTTGTTCGTATAGAAAGCCTCTGCTGTTGGTAGAGTAGGCCAATCCAATACTCCATCATTAGTCCAATGCTGTAAGCAAAGACTTCCCATCTTTTTGTCTATCCTGAAAGCAGTATGGTCTGAAGATTGATGTGACAATAAAATACAATGGATTTGGCCACTAGCGACAGACACAAACACACACAAAAACTGTACCATATAAAACATATTAATGATGGTATAGCTTACCTTTCCCAAGATCAGATCTGCGAGTCCGGATTTCTTTAGGAATTGTGCAGCATCTGCAGCCAAAACTCGTCCAGTGTTGCCAGACTCCACCTACGAAGAAGCCAAAAATGTATTTGCAAATGTATTTTTTCCAACCAAATATAATATTTCAATACAGCAATAAATAAAATGTAAAAAATTCAATATAATAAAGCAAAGTAAGAAAGTACTAAACATTAAGACCACCTGAGATCTAATTTACTTTCAAATTATAGAAAAAGAAAAAAACTTTTTTTTTTTTTACTCAACTCTGCATTTTGAACAGATTGATCATAGTGTTGTTTTTGAGAATTGCTTAGCAAGAAACACCAAATCATCATGATCAATGTCAACACTGCTTATGATACTCTTTCTCTGAAGCATCTTGGAATAAATTAAGCAGAGTCCCATACTCTGCAAAGAACAATCAGTTTTATCCTTCTAAAGTAACATTCCAATATGATTAATTCATGTTTTCTGAATGTTTACATTTGTTTTGAGAAATCGTTTACCAGCCAGATCTTGTCTGCAGCGAATCTCAAAGCAAGTTCTGTGCATTAAAGGAATTAGTTTGTGTGTATTTTCCCAGAGGAAACATATTTGCAAACAAATTTGGCTTGTTCTAGACAGTTTTGAATGTAAACAGATCACCACATCATTATGTGTAATGTTACTATCACGGTTTATCAGAGTAAGGTCTTATTAAAGAAAATCGAAAGATATTTTAACTATGGGGGAAAATTTGAGAAGCAACCAATATTTAGTGCAGGCATGGTATGGCCCCTAATAAAGAATAAAATGTCTGCACCTACAGTTATTTCTACGGTTTAACTTACAGAAGCCTTTGAATATACAAGTAGCATTATTCTGACAATGAACATGTTGCTATATTAAAATTACATATTAAAAGGTGATCATTTGTTTTCTTTCAGCAAATCCCCCACCCACCACAAGAAAACTGACCTGACGAAAGTATTTCTCATACACAGCATGGTTACTTGGAACCTGGAAGAGATTAGAAAAGAACAGCATTTATCATTTATTTATAAATCCATATTTAGTTACAATGAAATTCCAGAACAGAGTTTTACACTTTTTTTTTTAACTAGATAATCTAAACAATATATTAAAATTAAACTTTTCATACTAAACAGTACTCTTGCCTAGCTTTACCAAAGTCGATTCAAGGTCAGTAGCAACTAGGAAGCGGCTGGAATAGCTAGCCAATCAGGGAGTTATTGAAATAAATGGAAAATTGACTGCAGATTGCACACAAACATACAAAGAATCTCACTAGGAATGGGTGGGATGTTACAGACATTTTCCATATAATTGAGAGATCTACTTTTTGCTTTGACTAAAGGTTTTTTTGGAAGGATGGGACACAAAGCAACAATATGTATAGGCACAGTCACTCGCAGGCTCTATTTAACTCAAAGAAAAGGGAATTCCAGGGATGACAATTGCCTCATCTTATATGTAAGAATATAGCTATAATGTCCCAAATCAGATGCCAATATGTTGCTGATCCATTAAAACCTTCTTTATTGTTTTCATTTACAAATATACCAGTCTTTTACTGCAAAACAGTATATTGCCACACATGTTCTCACAGAATTATAAACTTCTCCGTACACAGTATTCGATAAGTTTCGTATAAAACGTACTTCCTCAGGAAAAACCATTACAGATTGTTATACTGTGGCAAGGTCTTATAGCAGAGTGAGCAATAATCAAAACTAAAAAAAAAAAAAAAAAAAGTTTAAAATAACCCTATTATCCAATGGTATCATCAGTGTCAATGCCATGCATATCTCATGTTTCCGGCCCCATGAAATGCCTCCTCTAGCCCTTTGCAGTAGATACCCCGAGACAAATGTGACCGTACAGCATATGTACAAAGAGATACATGCACTCTGCACTACCAAGCATACCTATAATACACTGGCTGACCAGCACAGTCTACCTACTGCAAACTGGTGATGCAGGGAATCTGTCAGGTTGGTTTATTACTTTAAAAATTCATTTTTGGCATTAAGGCACATGTTTTAACCTTTTTAACTTAGGCGATATCAACTATCAACAAAAATCGAAATTATATTTTATGGTAAAAATAAAGTTCGATCTCACCAAGGAACTGCGTTAAAAGTTTAAAAAAAGCATGTGGGAAGGGGAACTGAAATTGTAATCTAGGACTGCACATAAAGCAAATAGACTCTGGGTATTGGGTAAGCATTATGTCCCCAGCTTTCTTTCCTCCTGGCCAGATCTCTCCCCTGTCCCTCCAGGAGATCATTCTAATTACGTTGTGGGAGGTGGAGCGACAGTAGCACAGAGGCAGTCTCGACACTGGTGAAAAGGTTAGCAAAACCTTTAATCTCATTTTATTGCACATTAGTAGGTGCACTAATATAAATAGAGATAGGAGCAATGTAGCTTTAGGAATACAGGTTTATATGCCCAACACTATAGGGTTCCTTTAAGAAGCAGGGAATTGACCACAGTACATGCCATGCAAAGTGAGCTGCATTGCGAACTCTGATTGGACAGCCACAGAGAGTCTGTGCTGGGGAAGAAGAGGAGGGCTTACGGTAGCTGCAGAAACTAGATCTGCAGCTTTTGCAAGCCAATATTTCACATACCTCCAAAACATGCATATTTTCGGGGGTCTGCAGCTACTAAACTGTTACTTTTTAATGGAATGTTCCTTTAATACATACACCTTGAGAAATCCATATGTTTTTGTCTGTAAGATTAAAATATGCTTTCACTGTACACATAATCTACCCTCTGACTAGAGAATAATAATGGGAAAACAGTTAGTAGTTGCATACAATGCCCAGGCAGCCCAATATGGCTGAATAACATGGGGTAGGCCAAAGTAGCTGTAGTGCCACTAGCTACTGCATTAGCTCACAGAACAAGCAAATAACACACTGTGTCAGGAGTTACATGGGAACTTTATCAAACAACCAATGCCAGATTTCCTGTAACTGGCAGGGAAACAAATAGACTACAAAAGCAGAGCCACAATCTGTGCTTCCACCAGGAAACCTGAAGAGGAAAGATCAGTGAGCAAAAACGAAAAAATAAACACTGCTGACTAAGGCATTTTCCCTACAGGGATCACTGCCAGGATATTTCCATTTGTCTTGTAAGCTGTTTCTCGAAAAGCTCTGTGGACATTATGTGTCATTTTATGATGCTGAGCTCACTTGCGCACTTACAACACACTGGTAAAAAAAAAATCCGAGCTTGCCCATGGTATCAGGGAAAGGTGGTAGCAGTAGCACTCGGAAATGCAACAAAAACATTTTGATATTATATAAAAGTGGGGGCTTTGGTCTGAGTAAATCCTGTGAAGCAGTGATGTTAGATGGAACATGTGATTCTATTACAGATTTTGGAAACCTTACTAGAATGTGAAAACAATTTATATTATTTGAACTCTATAAATAAATAGAGTTGAAATCCAATCTATTCATAAAATAGCTGTATTGTGCTACATGTAATATGTGCTTGCTTATGTTGACCCAATTTTTCAAACACTTGCCACAATTTATCCATAACAAAGAAATAAATGTTGTAGAAATGAGGTTAAACAGTCACAATAAGCACCATAACCACTACAATGAGCTGTAGTGGTTATGAAGCAGTCTCCTAGGGTGCTGTATATGATTTGACCATCTCCCAGCACCATCACACAATACAGAACTGGACAGGCTAAGGCTTTTTTTTTTTTTAAAGCTAAACCAGAGCAGAGGGACCAGAGAGGCCCAGTTTTAATCTAATCACAGCTAAAGACTCTGTGCTTTGAGTGGCCCACAAGATAAATTATATTAAAATACATTGCTGTCAATCTCATCCTTGACTCTATATTGTTTCTTTATTTAGATGACAGCTGCTTAATTCTCACATTCCATTTTCTGGGATAAGGGAATAGTTTCATTCTTTTTTTTCCTGCCAAAGCCCTTAGAGCACAGACACACCCAGACGTGGGAGTATTAAAAATAATTATTTTTACATTTTTTATATTTTTAAAAAGGACTAAGTGATCTGAAATAATGGAATGTACCAAGTGCAGTAGTGGTTCTTAAAAGGGCACTCTAAGCACCATAACCACTACAGTTCATTGAACTGGTTATAGGGAATATAGTCTGTGGGCACTGTCCGCCCCAGCACCCAGAGACTTTAGCCTTAAAGGACCACTATAGTGCCAGGAAAGCATACTCGTTTTCCTGGCACTATAGTGCCCTGAGGGTACCCCCACCCTCAGGGTCCCCTCCCACCCGGCTCTGGAAGGGGGAAATGGTTAAAAAGTTACATTTTTCCAGCACTGGGCGGGGAGCAATCCTCCTCCTCTCCTCCCCGTCGGCTGAGCTGCGCGCGCATTCAGCCGGTCGCATAGGAAAGCATTATCAATGCTTTCCTATGGACGCTGGCGTGCTCTCACTGTGAAAATCACAGTGAGAAGCACGCAAGCGCCTCTAGCGGCTGTCAATGAGACAGCCGCTAGAGGGAATGGGGGAAGGCTTAACCCATTCATAAACATAGCAGTTTCTCTGAAACTGCTATGTTTATTAAAAAATGGGTTAACCCTAGCTGGACCTGGCACCCAGACCACTTCATTAAGCTGAAGTGGTCTGGGTGCCTAGAGTGGTCCTTTAAGATTAGATTTGTAATGATAGAATAAGAATCCACAGGTAAATCCTGGACAATCGATTTGTCTGTGTGCGTATTAAAAGACTTAATTCAGCCCACCCGTCCAAAACTATCGCAAAAAGTCTACCTAAGCATGAATGGAGGTGATGTCTACAATTACAATTAAACAGATTGCGTTGTGATCCAGTTGTCTGGCTGTGCACAGCACAGGGTGACAACAGGTGATGTCACTGCTCTGTGAATGCTTAGCAGCTGGGTAAGTTACAGTGATCTTGGGTCGGATAATGGCCAGATTCTGAAAGTGTGTAAAAATGTATGTTTTCCTTTAACCTTTTCACTGCGGAGCATTTTTTTGAATGTAAAGCAAGGGATTCCTAGCTAGCATATACAGGTGATACTCCAAAAATTTGAATATCGTGCAAAAGTTCATTTATTTCAGTAATGCAACATAAAAGGGGAACTAATATATGAGATAGACGCATTATATGCAAAGCAAGATAGTTCAAGCTGTGTTTGTCATAAATGCGATGATTATGGCTTACAGCTCATGAAAACCCCAAATCCACAATCTCAGTAAATTAGAATATTACATGCAATCAATAAAACAAGGAGTGTACATAGAACAATATCGGACCTCTGAAAAGTATAAGCATGCATATGGACTCATTACTTGGTTTGGGCCCCTTTTGCAGCAATTACTGCCTCAATGCGGCGTGGCATGGAAGCTATCAGCCTGTGGCACTGCTGAGGTGTTATGGAAGACCAGGATGCTGCAATAGCAGCCTTCAGCTCTTCTGCATTGTTCGGTCTCATGTCTCATCTTTCTCTTGGCGATGCCCCATAGCTTGTCTATGGGGTTCAAGTCAGGTGAGTTTGCTGGCCAATCAAGCACAGTAATCCCACGGTCATTGAACCAGGCTTTGGTGCTTTTGGCAGTGTGGGCAAGTGCCAAGTCCTGCTGGAAAATGAAGTCAGGATCCCCATAAAGCTCATTTGCGGAAGGAAGCATGAAGTGCTCCAAAATCTCCTGGTAGACGGCTGCATTGACCCTGGACTTAATGAAGCACAGTGGACCAACACCAGCAGATCACATGACTCCCCAAATCAACACAGACTGTGGAAACTTCACACTGGACTTCAAGCATCAGTGTGTGCCTCTCCATTTTTCCTTCAGACTGGGTCCTTCGTTTCCAAATGAGATGCAAAAGTTGCTCTAATCAGAAAAGAGGATTTTGGACCACTGAGCAACAGACCAGGTCTGTTTTTCTTTAGCCAAGGTAAGATGCTTCTGACATTTGTTGTTCAGGAGCGGCTTGACAAGAGGAATACAACAGCTGAAGCCCATGTCCAGGATCCGTCTGTGTGTGGTGGCCCTCGATGCACTGACTCCAGCCTCAGTCCACTCCTTGTGAAAGTCCCCAACACTTTTGAATGGCCTTTTCCTGACAATCCTCTCAATGATGGTTTTCTGCACAACTGTCAGGTCAGCAGTCTTCCACATGATTGTGATTCCTACTGAACCAGACTGAGAGACAATTTAAAGGCTCAGAAATCCTTTGCAGGTGTTATGGTGTACTTAGCCGATTAGAGTGGGACACTGTGAGCCTAGAATATTGCACCTTTCACAATATTCTAATTTACGGAGATTGTGGATTTGGGGTTTTCATGAGCTGTAAGCCATAATCATCGCACTTATGACAAATCACGGCTTGAACTATCTTGCTTTGCATGTAATGTGTCTATCTGATATTAGTTTCAACTTTTACATTGCATTACTGAAATAAATGAACTTTTGCACGATATTCAAATTTTTCGACTATCACCTGCAAACCGATCATAAAACACAGGAATTTTGTTTAAAGATGGCTTTGCAGACAAACTTAGAGGGACATTGTAGGCACCCAGACCAGTTCAGCTCATGAAAGTGGCCTGGGTGCAATGTCCCATGTCCCTTAACCCTGCAAAAAAAAAATTGAGAAACTGCAATAATTATTAATAATTATCCAGGGTTAACTCCACCTCTAGTGGCTGTCTACTAGACAGGCACTATAGAGCTTCCTGGTTTGAAACGGACCTTTGGTTAGTTATCTGACGCTGGATGTCCTCATGCTCTGCGTGAGGCCCTCCAGCATCAGATTTTTCCCCACATAGGAAAGCATTGAATAATGCTTTCTTATGGGGAAATCCAAATGCGATCACGGATGTTGGCTGGAAAGGAGCGTGGACGGAACCCGACCCAGCGCCGAGGGACATCAGAGCTGGATTCAGGTAAGTGATTTAAGGGGTTTTAACCCCATCAGTGCCACAGGAAGGGGGCGGGGAGGGAACTGTAGGATTCTATAGTGCCAAGAAAACATGCTTTGTTTTCCTTGCACTATAAAATCACTTTAAAAAGCCAACAGAGCAAGACGCACATGGCTGGAGCTCCTCAGCCTAAGCCTGAAAAAGCACGGTTTACCCTGCTGAATCCTACAGCATCTGGCAGAGCGAACACTCGTACTCTTGTAGAACACTAAGCTGATGTTCTGGTCCACATCTCTTAGTCCAGGCTCGGGACCGGCGGGGGTTATCACGGTCCCCTCTGTCATGCTAAGTGGACTGATTGCCTGCTCCATCCCTACCCAGCACATACCTGCAGCTACAGGCCTACTCTCCAACATGGTCGCTGCCACGCTGAACGCCTCGAAGCCTGCACACCCGCGCCCGACTTATCGAGTGGACCTACTGTTTATACTTATAATCCACTAATGATTGCCTATGCCTGAACCTAGCTAGCTACACTTTACATATTTCTAAAATAAAGGGATCTAAAAAACTGCTACAGCAACATTTATCAGTCTCTGGAATTCTAAGGCAATGATGACAGTGAAATGGTAGAGTCCATTCACTCCTTCACCTCTCCGACTCTCAGTCTGATATGACCTGCTGAAACTTCCTGTACTGTTTGGAAGCAGTGGGCGAGAGTACATTTTCAGCAACGTTACAGGTATTATATCAGTGACATTTCCTTACAGGCTTGTAATCATAACTAGCGTATCCATGAGGGTGTTGGAGGCTTTATGGACTATTTGTCATCTATTGCAAAATACAAGAAAAATAAACAAACGTTGATACTCGATTATGGTATTGAAGTAGTTAAGCGCAAGTTAAAATCATTAGGGTTTTAAATCTATAACCACTACATAAAGTATACTTATAAAATACACAAGCAGTAAACCGAAAAAGGGTGTTTTAGAATAGTCTTATACATACACACACACACACACCATGTCGGTAAGTAAGGTTATTGCTATGATTTTCAATTATACAGCTTAATAACCAATCCTTAATGTGAACATTCCAGAACAAATATCCATTATTAATGCTCTCCAAACATGTAGGGAGAGTGGGGAGCGTGATTAATCATTTCCAAATTATTACATTAATAACACAGATAAAGGCTACATTCCACACATATATGTGTTTGCTTTTTTCCTTCTTCAAACTATTTCATTATTTGAAATTATGATTCCATTTATGAGTCTTTTAAAAACTCTGCCAGCAAAAGCCATATGACCATGGATTTCAAATAATTAGGTCTTGGCACATGTACCGATACTGAGAACGAAATGCCGAACCAGGCCAGCACAGTTATGCAATGAACCATATCCCGTTAAACAACAGCTAGCTACTCGATGCTTGCAATATCTTCCAGAAAATTAATCCGACAAAAATTAAGCAAAAAAATGTTCCGGTCCTCTGTCCACTTTATAAATCTGGTCAACTGGTGCACTAAATCCCATATTAAACATGTGCACACTTTTTTGGGAGATATGCCTACTGGTTCTGTTTTGATGCAATCCTTTCCCCATCACAGCATACAAAGCTAATTGAAATAAAAAGCCCGACTAGCCAAACTGAAAGCACAGTTTATTTCCATTTTGACCTTAAATTTAAAATTCACTTTAAATTCCCATTTTAGAAAATAAACCCTTTAATGTTTACCTATAGCTTGGCTACTAAATCATTTTTTTCCCCATTTCAGTGAGACCAACACAAGTTTGTTTTCCTAATGCTAGAGTGTTCATTTAACCCCTTAAAGACACAACTTCTGGAATAAAAGGGAATCATGACAGAATATTTCCGTCATGTGTCCTTAAGGGATTAAAAGTACCTCGTCATTAAATTAGCACTAAGAAAAAACAGGAGAAAGGTGTATCTCCTAAACACCCCTAAAACACTTCAGCAAGCAAGTGAAAAGAAAAAAAAATACCACAAAATGAGGACAGTCTTAAATTAGAGGGACAAAGGTTTAAAAATAATATCAGGAAGTATTACTTTACAGAAAGGGTAGTGGACACATGGAATAGCCTTCCAGCTGAAGTGGCAGAGGTTAACACAGTGAGGGAGTTTAAGCATGCATAGGATAGCCTTATGCCTATCCCAACTATAAGATAGGGCCAGGAACTAATGAAAGTATTTAGAAAATTGGGAAGACTAGATGGGCCGAATAGTTCTTATCTGCCGTCACATTCACAAAGTACAGAAGCGGACTGCATTGTCTCATGACTGGAGATTGCTTTCTCCCTGTTTGGTACTGTGAATCAGCAAGATTAGAGGAGACAAAGAGACCAGTAAGTACAATATCATTGCGAAACCCACCACCCGCATACCTCCCAGGTTTCCCTATTAAGGAGGGACAGTCCCTATTTCTAGGAGTTCCATATGGTTGCTGTGTCGGAGTGTTTAACAGAGGTCCAAAAGCAATAATACTCCCAGTAATGTGTATTTAATCTACAATAAATGTTTTTAGAAATCAGTCTGTGGTGGGAAATGATGGGAGGTACGCACCTGTAAGGACCAAGTCATTAAAAGATCACTCAGCTGCTACCATACCTCTCTATCAAACTATACCACGAGAATACACTCCTCTTGGTTAGAAGTGCGGTGGACTATACGTCTCATACACACAAACCTGAAATAACAACTTCACAATTATTGAAACAAGTTACAAATGTATTTTGTGACATACTCTGCATTCCTACTATGCCACAACATTTTTCTTTCCTCCTCTCAAAACCAGTGGAAACTCTCACTAAATCCAGCAATAAGTTCCATGCTAGAATACCTCTCTGTTCCCCATTTAACGCTACATCAGGTGATTTAGCCAGTTAGTGAGAAGGGCAGAAGTTTGGAGTTAAAACTCCAAGCAGGAATCAAACCCCTCACATAAAATATTGGTTGTAGGTTAAAAATGTACACACAAGTACAATGGTCTGGCACCTTTGCCTTTTTCCAGCAAGTTTCATAGAATATAAAATAGCATGTTGGCAAACAGTGATGAAGATCAAAACTTAAAATAACTTTTTTTTTTTTGCTTGTTTGTAGTGCAACTGTCACAATTAAATCCAGCCCTAGGAAGGTTATTTACAAAGGGTCCAAAAGTATACATAAATAAATTTAAAAGAGGCGGAGCCTGACAGCAGAGGCAAGCAGACGCAAGACTCAGGAGCTCCGAGGACAAAACGGAGAAAATAAACTTAAAAACGGCTGATACGGGGGCGGGGCCTGACCGCCATGCAGACAAGTCGCACATGAAGTGAGCTCCTGAAAAGAAAAACTAAACGAATAAAAATAACGACTTTCCACCCAAGAAATTAAGCACTGACCCGGCTGGAATTACAATACAATCACAGGAGACACTCCTTATGGCACCTCACCACTAGACCGGCGGTCAAAACCCAGAGCTTCTTCGGGGCCTGCTTGTAGGAGAGGCTGGGGAGATACGGCCGGTCTCCCTGCTACCTGCACTGCTGGAGCACGAGGAGGCAGACGGGGCTCCTGTTTCCCCCCCCCCGCCGTTGGGGGTTATCACGGCACCAGCACACCGGCTACAGCTCCCCTTTAAGCACAAGCGACAAACTCGCGCCCAAACAGGGACGACAGGGCCCAGTTAAGATGGCGGCGCAGATACATCGCAGGAAGAAGCACTCGCCTCCCAAGCCACCCAAGCACATAACGGAGTTCTTCAACAGGCTCTGTTCATACCTGTGGGAGAAGTTTCAGCCCAGGAGACGACCCTTCAGACTGGCGGTGATAGCGGCGGCGGCGTGGATCCGCCCGGCGACCCGTCGTTGCCTGTGGTGGAACCCCCCGCGCGGCAATACACGCAACCTCAAACTCGAGCACGGAACCCACAAGAGTACCCGACCTGCTTACCAACAAGCGGTCCCAGCAACAGCTGTCCAGCAAAGCGCAACCCGACACAGAGGGACTAGCAGAGTTGACAGCGATAAAAATTACACCCCGGCAGGTTTGATGACCGACCGGCAAAAAATTAACCCGCGATCGACCGGACCGAGAGCACCGAGGGGGCAACTGTCTATACGCGACAGCATTACCACCATCACCCCACTAAGCAAGCGGGCCATCCCCGGGCAAGACAACCCCAGGATGAACACAACGGAACACCCAGTGGGTATCGGCTGAAAGGGGAATCCCCACAAGGGCACAGTGCTGGACTCTAGCCACTGCCTAACGCACCTCATGGGACAGAGCTGCCGCTAGCAACACCCTAAAGCCCAGACACTCACCGTGCAGCAAGCACACAAGTCTGACAAGACACTTGGTAGCTCGACGGCACGGCCCAGATTCCAAGCCAGGCTCCTGCCACTTAACCTTGGTTAACAACTGTTAAACTAATACATGATAAACGTGGACTTACAACTTAGAATAGTATGTTTAGCATAAGCCTTATCTTAACGCTAAGTGACAGCATAGAATAGGCATGTTATGCAATACTAAATCCTACTAAACATAACTAAATCTCATTAAGCATGGCGAACTCTTATTAAGCATAATTCTGTTAGTTTATATAAAAAAAAGTGCAATGTTTCTTATGCCACATTACTGTCACCACATGTTTCATTTATGTTTGCACCAGCTGTCGTGGCAGTGCAAAACTGCTTGTTAAATCTATGCACGAATAAAATAAAGAATTTAAAAAAACGGCTGATACGACCCCCAATAACCACTGACTACAAGCGGGCACCCCTTAAGCACTAATGGGACGCAAACACAAGAAACTGTTGCCGGACAAACCAGCCCCAGGACTCACAATAGGGGATATGTGGCGACAAGCACGCGGCCCGAGCGGATCCAATATGGCGGCGCTCCACGGAGGCTGCTCGGATTTCTCCGACGACTGCTCAGAGGGAGCTGACGACGAATGCCTCCTAGCCCCAGACCCAATGCCGAGGGCAAAACCCAACAAACCTAGGAAGGACACAGACGCCGAACTGGTAACAACCGGGGTATTAAAGACCCTGCTAGCAGACCTACAAAAGAACATCCTCGCGGATGTCACTGCACTAAGGGGAGAGCTGAAGGGCCTGACAGGCCGCATCACTGTACTAGAGGAATCATCCCAAGAACAGCAGCACACTATCGCCTCACTGCAAAGCGACATACGGGACCTGCGCAACCAAACTATGCTGTATGAACGGCGCTTCGCAGCCCAAGAAGACGCAAGACGGAGACTTAACATTAAGGTCAGGGGACTCCCAGAGGGGTTGCCAGAGGCTGACCTACCGCACACGATCAAACGCCTGCTTGCCACCATTCTGCCCACGGACCA